CATAGCCCAACACTGCCTACAGCTGGACCTCCAGCTCCAGCTCTGACTCCTCCAGCCTCGCTGGCATCTGCACTCACATGCACATACACACATAAATACCATATACATATAAATCAAAATATAAAAACTAAAAAGGAGAGAAATTGCTAAGAGGGTGGAGAAAGAGTTCAGCCATCAAGAGCCCTTGTTGCCATTACTGGACTGTTTATCTCAGTGGTTAAGAGCACTGGTTGCTCTTCCAGAGAAACAGGGTTCAAGTCTTGGTACCAATATGGTAGCCCACAACTATATATAACTCCAGTCCCAGAAAAGCTGATGCCTTCTGGTCTCTGCAAGTACCAGTCACACAATTAGTGCACTGACATACATGTAGGCAAAACACACACATAAAATAAAAATAAACCTTTTTTTTTTTTAAAAAAAGGAGCACCTATTGCTTTTATCAGTAATCCAGGTTTAGTTTCCAGTACCCACATAGCAGCCCATAAGTGCCTGTAATGCACTCAGGTTCCAACCCCTTCTGGCCTCTGCAGGCACCTACATGCACATGGTGCACATATGCACACTATGGCTCTCACACATGTGCGCATGCATACACACACACACATGACAAATAAATCTATTAGATAAAAAGAAAGATGGGAGGAAGGAAAGAAGAAAGTATAAGAGCAGTAACAGGCCACCCAGAAGCACACACAGCAGTAAGTGACCACTCCACCCACCGAGGCTGAACTCAGTTTCTGTAAAGATCATGTTATTTCTCTGATTTCCGTGGAGAGTTGTTGGTTTTTTTGAAGGGTGGTGCTGAGGTCAAAATGAGGCCTCAAATTTGCTAGACACACACTGTATCATGTGCCCCACCTAAAGGTCAGAACATCCTGATAAAGCTGAGGTTTATTTACAGCAAACAACATCCGTTGCTTTGTCACAGGATCTGCAGGGTTTGCTCTGAGCCAAGGGAGAGCAGAGTCTGAGAGCTACCAGTGTAGAAACGGGTGACCAGAGGAGACAACCTGGGTCCAAGCTATGGGGCTTGGCTTAGCTTGGCTATGAGATAGATACAGGCTCATTTGGGAATCCAGACTCAGTAGGGCTAGAGCCAATACCAAGCCTGCAGTGGACACAGCTAAGGGCTGGTCCTGAGTTCCTTCAGGGGTGCAAGTGGCACCCCTCAATACTTGTTGTAGTGACCAAAACACCACCAGGAGATCTAAGTTCCATGCCCCTGGCTCCCAATGGGACTGGACAAATTCAGTGGCTTGTTGGACCCCACCTCACATTCTGGCTGAAAGATAGTCTCAAGGAAGAACCTGCCCTTTCCTCACCCCAACCTTACCCCTGATTCTGGCCCGTAGCCTAACCTTTGTCCTAACCCTAGCATTAGCCCCTTAAGGGCCTGACATGCACCGCACCTTTGGCCCCCACCTCTCATATTCCCAGGAGTCTGTCTTCCCAGATGTCTACGGGGACCCCACAGCTCACTCAACCCATGGAAATGCTGCAAAGGTAACTTTACCTACCAAGCAAGAACACAGAGCACAGCAACCAGTGCTGGGGGAACCCCCCCCCCCCAAGTACAGGCAGCAGGATCCCTCCCCAGGTGGTCTTTCTCCTGGAGGGAAAACTCACAATGAATGGAGTAAACCTGGCAAACAAATGTCTCTTGAGGTTCCAGGATCCAGGGTGGAGGCTGGATTGATTACCTGGCAGGGTCAGCAGGAGGCCCAGTCTCTCTGATACCACCCCGCCCCCGACCAGGCCCATCTCAGGCACCCAGGTGTGTGACTGATGGTGTCCACGGTGATCTGGCAGTTAGGACGGATTGTGACAGGATACACCATGGCCCCAAGGACAGCCGGAAGCAAGAGGTGTGTGTGGGCCCCTGGAGTGCAATTGTAAGGCCCCCCACTGGGAGTAGAAAGATAAAGGGGCCACAGCCACTGCAGAATTTTCCAACGAAGTCTTGAGCCCTGATAAAGCAGAACCCCATATCCTGTTTGGCCACTGCTGTGCCCAGCAGGCGGTGGCGATCACAGGCCTGGAGTATGGGGCACAAGTGGGTGCGGCAGGGGAAGGGCACACCATCCCTATATAAGTTTTGGAGAGCCAGACACTCAAGTCGCAGCAGAGGCAGCAGCAAGACTGCCTAAGCGCCCAGCAGTAGAAGACCGGGGCTGGTGGCCGCCTTCTGCTCCAGGGGTGCCACCATGTTCAGGGGTCAGCAGCTGCTGCTGTTGCTGTTCTTCAGGGGATCCCTAATCAATGCTGGTGAGTGGGCATCTGCTAGGCTATACCCGGGGCGGGGACAGGTACCCAATGCCCTCCAGAGGACCCCGTGCATGGGAGAGTCTTCAGGTCTTCTCGCCTCATTGACTCTACCTAAGACGGGCAACCCACGCAGACACTGATGGACAGGGGACAGAAGCAGCCCGACAAACTACTCAAACCTGTCTACCTCCTGTGAACTGGGTTTGGTGGCCAGGAAAGGAACATGCTCGCCTGAAATGGGGGTAGGGCTCCCTCTTGTACAGTCTCAGCAGTTCTGGTGACAGCAGCACACAATGGTAGCAGCAGGGCGTTCCTCCCCTCCTCCCGTGGCTCTAGCCCTGAGAGGTCTTTGAGGAGCCTGGGGTATGTAGGGACAGGGGCATGTGTCACCCTAACAGAGTTGCTTCTTTGGTGCTGAAGTCAAAGTTTCCAGGCTCCGTTACTCCTGACCTCACCCACTAACAGAACTGAATGGTGGGCTCCAGGTCTCAGCTTCCCCTTCTGTTAACGTGGGGAGACATCTTGTGCCACCCCAACCCACAGTTCTGCATGCCAATCACCAGCTGTTGGAGATGTCCCCTGCGGGGAAGTCATATAGAGCCCACCCTCAAAATACACCCAGCCTGGGGGTAAAGGTGCTAGGAGGGTCTCAGACTTGAAATAACGTGATGCCCTCCCATCAGGCTGCTCTGCTTCTCCCCAGCAATGGTCTTCCCACTAAATAAGGTAGCGCGGAACACCATAAAGCAATGCCTATAGGCCCTACTGGGGACCCTGTCTTGCCTCTTACCCAGCATTCCTGGCAGAAAGAGAATGACATGTTGACTAGAACCAAGTCCCTTGGGTCCAGAGCCAGGAATAGGGGACTAAGTCCCAGGAGGACCTGAGGGGGGCTGGGAGGCTGAAGGGACTGAGCTGCTCCAATAGCAGGCTGAGTGCCACTCTGTGCAGCCTAGAGGGCGGGCAGAGATGGGAGAATATGAGGTTAGACAGGCCAGATGGGACCTGAGGCTACCGAAGCTGGGAAGGAGGCACCTGAGGCAGTGGGATTAACCCAAGACAGGTAAGGTCACCAAACAGACTGAAGGAAAACCATATGAACGAGTCCCCTTGGGCCATGGCAGAGGAGTCAGCTAACACAAGGTGCAGACGGTCCTGGTAGAAGGGGCAGCGATGCTGGTGATCCCCTGAACATCTTCAAAAGGGCCTACAGCTCAAAGAAAATCAGGGAAGCCAGACTCAAGCTGGGGCCCGGGAAAGGGAAACTTGTCAGGGGAGGGAGCCACCTACATGGGACAGGAGCCCCTTGGGATCACACTAGACAAAACAGTGAGGCAATGGAGCCAGACCCATGGGACCAAGACGGACCAGGACCTGGCCATTTGCTACTCACACCTCCTAGAATGAGGTGGCCTCCAGCGTTCCCATCCTGCCTGAAAGACAGCGAAATCTGAGCATCTGAGGGTGTTGCCCAGGGAACCTAGCCCATTCTCCACACCCTTAATAATCACTGGACAGGGGCAGGTCCCGCTTCCTAGCCATTGTTTTAGATCTCCCCTTCCCATTGCGGGCTGGATCCTGAGGGGGGAATCCAGTGATGAACCAGGCTGAGGCTCAGTGTGAGTCCCATTCCTGCCAGACCCCCATGGTATTGCCAGAGAGAGCCTAAGTCCCTGAAGTGACTGGCGGTAATGACAGAGAGAGCATCTTGCCCAAAGCTCCTGAGATGACGTGAGGGCTATCTGGCTGCGACATCTGTCGCGTTAACGGGGAAGCTGATTCTTGGCTGCTCTGGCTAGCTAAGCAAGCATCCCCTTCCTCTCTCACTGCTCCATGTGAGACCCTCCTGAAGTTACACTTGGTTCAGGAGGATGCCCTTCCTCAATACAGGGGACTGTTCCTTGATTGAGAGTGTGTATATGCACAGCTGTGCTCCCCAGCTAGAAACAAACACCCCCAAACACCTCAGGAGAGCTTGGGGTAGGGCCCAAGAAGAGAACTGAATCCCAAAGGATGGAGTGTGGGGGCCAGCTCGTCGGCAGGGTGGAAAGTGTGTCAGATAAGATGCTGGCAGAGGGATCGGGACATTACAGCCCATGGGAGCCCCAGCAGGGCCCTCCCTCACAAAGTCATCTTGTGGTTGCCTGTCCCTGACTGGCGGTCACCGTGACCCATGCTATTTGGCAATGGTCACCACGTTCCAAGAGCCCACTACAGCTGTCTTAGAGGCTGCCAAGGAGGAAAAGGGGAAGAGAACCAAGCACAGGGCCCCAGATGGGGGAGTAGGTAGCTTCTGAGTAGTTTACGGGATAGACCCATAGGGAGACCAGACAGCCAGAGCAGGGACATGGGGAGTGGCCTGGCAGAGGAGACAGCCAAAATCTGTCTCAGCCCTCTGTCCTCTCCTTGTTGTCCTCTCCTACCTCACAGCACACCCCAGGCCCACCCTCTTGTATCCTTCCTTACCAGAGTTTCACGGAGATGAGTCCTGTGCAAAGGAGGTCTCCTCGGAGCCTAGTCCTACATTTAGAGTCTCCATCTGCAGGGCTCTGCAGCCTGGCTCATCTGAGCAGTGAATGGGGAGTGATCCTGGCACACAGGCATCCATGCCTAGGATATCCCTACCTGACATGGCACTTGCTCCCCAGGGATGTCCTGCTAGCTCTACTCCAGCCACAGGATAGTGCGTCTCTCCAGCATGCCCCAGAGTAGCCAGCACCCTAGGCCCTGTTCTCATGTTATGTCCCTAGCGAGGCTGCCCTCCCGTTCCAGAATGCACAGCGGCAGCTGACTACTCTTCCTTGCTTTGTGTGCCCACCCCGCCAAGTCACTTAAGCAGCATGTGTGTGCTGTATGAGTGGGTGCCACCTTCCGGGGACCCTGCAGGAACAAGCCGTGTGCTGTAGACCTATAGCACCTGACATGGTGACAGGCACCAAGCAGGAGCTTCATGCAGCCCAGGCTAAGCCAAAGGTGGAGTATATGACTGAGTGAACAAACCAGGAAGTAATGAGAGCAGGAAAGATGTTACAGCGGGGGGAAAACTGAGCTGGGATGCCAGGGCCCGGGCTGGACTCCACCTCTGTCCTCCCTCAGAGCCTGCTACCTACTCAGTTAAGCATACTGTGGACAACTTGTGCTGTTCACAACAGGCTGCTGCTACAAACGACAGGCAAATGGGGGGTATGCACTTGGCCAGACCTATGCAACACTAACCATGAGTCCTGCCCATGCAGGTCTGGACACCACTTCCTTTGCCAGCCTAAGTCCCTGGAAGCTGAAGGACTCTCCACAGACAGGTGAGAGCCAACAACATCCACATGGCTGTTGACCAGAGTACCAGAGGCCCAATGGCCCAGTGTGCAGAAAGAAGGGGGCCACACCTCAACACACACACACACACACATGCACACATACTTGACTGACCACACCCAAGTATAGCATGCAGGTCTTGGGGGTGCTGTGGTTTGGGATTTTCTCACGAAGGATCCAGCAATGAAAGTCACAGTTCAGGCTCCAGTCAAGAGTTCTCATCCAAGGCACTGTGACCTCTATGCCTACCCCTGGGGGAACACTGAGTTGTAGCTTCCTGCCTTACAGGTGCCTGGACTGGAGATGCCACCGATTCTAACAGTGAGGATAGCCTGCAATCCTGTAAGGCCTAGACAGAAGGCAGACCCTGGGCTAGAGCTGAGTGGGCATGTGGGGTTGGGGATATGGTGGGCTCTCCAGGGTCCCAGCTTCTGGGTCAGGTTGTCCCTGTCTGGTCAATGGACTCAGGACTGGGAGTGTATCATTTTCTTTGCAGCATCAGAAAAGGGCTGGTGCTCCACGTGGGGAGCTGATCACTTTTCCACCTTTGACCACCATGAGTATGAGTTCAGAGGGATGTGCAACTACATCTTTACGGCCACGTGTGGGGGTGCCTTGCCCACCTTCAGCATCCAGTTGCGGAGAGATAGGGATGGAAACATCTCCCGGATCATCATGGAACTGGGGGCCTCTGTGGTCACCGTGAACAAAGCAATCATCTCTGTCAGGGACATTGGGTAAGCTATGAGGCAGGGCAACCAGGGGCAGGGGTAGAAGGGACAGTTGCTAACTTGTCTTACCCACAGGGTTGTTAGCCTGCCCTATACCAGCAATGGTCTCCAGATCACACCATATGGCCAGAGCGTGCAATTGGTGGCCAAGCAGCTGGAGCTGGAGTTAGTTGTCATGTGGGGACCAGATGCCCATCTTATGGTGAGAGCCATGAGCTGACAAACAGCATTCAGGAAGGGCCCTCCTCAGAGTTCCAGGAGCCCAGACTGGCAGAACAGCACTGACTGTAGGCCAGCAACCCAAGACAACCTGAACTTAAAGAGCAGCTCAGTTTCCTCGTTTGAAAAGGAGGAGGAGTCAGCCGGGAAAGAAACCCCACACCCCAGAAAGGGCAGGGTGGGCAGGTGGGAACACCTGAAATCTGGGTGGGGAACCCCTATGCATTCACACAGGGACCAACAGTGTCACCCCGCAGGTCCTGGTAGAGAAGAAGTACATGGGCAAGCTGTGTGGACTGTGTGGGAACTTCGACGGGAAGACAGATAATGAGTTTCTAAGCGAGGACGGTAAGCTGGCTTGGGGCTGCGTGGCTCAGGTCCCTCAGTGGTCTGCTCCTCATGCTGACCTCTGTCCTATGTCCCCAGACAAACTTCTGGAACCTTACAAGTATGCTGTACTCCAGAAGCTAGATGACCCCAATGAGATCTGTGCCCATGAGCCTATTCCCAGGCCTACCACCCTGAAGACCTCTAGATACGTATGTGAGGTGGCCCAGAACTCAGGGTCAGAACATGGCTGGCACGGGGGGGGGGGTGTAAGGGTCTCTGCTACCCCCACTTTCAGCTTCCCAAGCTCTGGGTATGTATGATACAAGAGGTGACCTCACCCATATGACTTTGAGTGGCTCTCTATTCAGGCCCAGATCTGCAACCAGCTACTGACCCTGGTGTCCCCTGGGTGTGATGTGCCTAAGGAGTCACTGGTGCTGAGCTGCCAGGCAGACATGGCTAAGTGTGCCCAGCCAGGTCAGCAGAATTGCAGCTGCGCCACGCTGTCTGAGTACTCCCGTCGCTGCAGCATGGCCGGCCAGCCTGTCCGCAACTGGAGGACCCCTGGACTCTGCCGTGAGTCCTAGTCAGGGTCAAAGGGAAAGTAGCCTGGGTAGGGGAGGAGCTAAGCGAAAATGAAGTGGGAACTGTGGAAGGTGGGCAGAAATCTTCTTACCAGACTATGCCTGCTGCCTGCAGCCGTGGGCCAGTGCCCAGCCAACCAGGTGTACCAGGAGTGCGGTGAGGTCTGCGTCAAGACTTGCTCCAACCCACAGCACAGCTGCTCCAGCTTCTGCAACTTCGGCTGCTTCTGCCCCCATGGTGAGGACATATACCAGCATCCACTTTCTCCCAAACTCACCTGCATGCTGGCCCAGGTTGGCCTAGACATTCTGTATCTCAGTCCCGAGTCCAGGCCTTATCCACCCCACCCCACCCCCCAAACTTCCAGTCAACCCAGGACTCCCTGCAGAGTGAGCAGGAGGAAGGAGGACCTCAGAGTACTAAGGAGAGGTGGGCTTGGAATCATCCAAGGCAACTTCCTAGGGCTGGCAGGGATGGGGGAGGGCAGAGGTGGGACTGACTGACCAGCCAGCTAGGGAGAAGTCCTCACAGTGATAGGCCACCTAAGGAACATCCATCCAACCTGAGCCTGTGCCCTTAGGTACACTGCTTGACGACATATCCAGAAACCACACCTGTGTGCCAGTCAGCCAGTGCCCCTGTATGCTCAATGGCGTGATTTATGGCCCTGGGGAGATCACGAGAACAGCCTGCCAAACCTGGTGAGTACAGAGAACGAGTTCTACTGGCATGGAACCTGAGAAGGGGCACTATTTACCTTGGGCCTCACAATCCACCGGGGACTATTCCAATGCCCACCTGCAGCCAGTGTACCATGGGCCGCTGGACGTGCACAGAGCAGCCATGTCCTGGGCACTGCTCCCTAGAAGGTGGTTCCTTTGTCACCACATTCGACGCCAGACCCTACCGCTTCCATGGCACCTGCACCTACACGCTTCTCCAGGTAAGAGGAGCCCCAGGGCTGGGGGGAAGGGAACAGTGTGCCCACCCACTCACCCCTCCCCTACTCACTCACCTCCCCAGAGCCCGCTGCTACCCAACAATGGCACCCTCCTGGCTGTGTATGACAAGTCAGGTTACTCCCATTCAGAGACCTCCCTAGTGTCTGTCATCTACCTGTCCAAGAAGGTAAGGCTACCTGCCCTGAATCAAGCACATGCTGGGGACATGGCCTGCAGACCTAGCATTTGGCTCCTGCTTCTCTTACTCCCTACCTCGTATTCCTCTGTCCCTCCAGGACAAAATTGTGATCTCAAAGGATGAAGTGATCACCAACAATGGAGACACCAAGGTGCTGCCATACAAAACACGTAAGTCCTGCTGGGTCTGGCACTGAGAATTTTGTGTTGCTGTGCCTTTGGGGGCTGGCAGCAGGGACAGCCTACTTAGCCCTGAAATCTTGCAGACAACATCACCATCTTCAGGCAGACATCTACCCACCTCCAGATGGCTACCACCTTTGGCCTGGAAGTCGTGGTCCAGCTACAGCCCGTCTTCCAGGCGTACATCACAGTCGGGCCCCAGTTCAAAGGCCAGACCAAAGGTGAGTCACTTACTGTCCCGCTGGTCACTCCCAGTCAGCCTGGCTGTCTCTTCTGCTGCAGCTAGATGCAGAGGGGACCCAGGAGTGCCTTGCACTGGCTCTCCACATCCAGGGAACCCATAGACACAGCCCCCTGAGGACAGTGGTGACTAATGAGAGAGGCATAGCTGGACAGAGGAGATAGGGTATACGGAGGAACCGGGTGGGAGGGCCTGGACTCAGTTGCTCCCACATCCCGCCCCTTTAGGGCTCTGCGGCAATTTCAACGGAGACACGACAGATGATTTCACGACCAGCATGGGCCTTGATGAAGGCACCGCCTCACTCTTTGTGGACTCATGGCGCGCAGGGAACTGTCTAGCTGCCCTGGAGCGGGAGACTGACCCCTGCTCCATGAGCCAGCTCAACAGTGAGTCCCCTGCACCCCCACCCTCAGCCACCTAAGCCTGTTGGTGGGAGGGAACAGGATACCCACGGCTGTACCTGTTGTCCCCAGAGGTGTGTGCAGAGACCCACTGCTCCATGCTGCTGAGGAAGGGCAGTGTCTTTGAGAAATGCCACACGGTGGTGAACCCCCAGCCCTTCTACAAGGTGGGTCCAATGGGCATTGGAGAGGGGGAAGGGATAGCAGCGGATGCAGTCCTTAACACCTGGGTCCTGCCCTCCCCACAGAGGTGTGTGTACCAGGCCTGCAACTACGAGGAGACCTTCCCTCACATCTGTTCTGCACTGGGGGCCTATGCCCATGCCTGCGCCTCCCGAGGTGTCCTGCTCTTGGGCTGGAGGCGCAGCGTGGACAATTGCAGTGAGTGCTGCCTGTGGTGAGAGGGTGGAGAGGAGTCAGGAGCAGGGCTGTGGACACAGGACAAATGGGAGCCTGGACCCCAACAGAGCCCCTGTGCGCATCTTGAGGAATTTGAGGGCCTTAACCTCTGCTCAGCCATTTCTCATCCCCAAGCCCCAGACCCTCTTCCCCACAACTCTCTGCCTGAAAAACCTGACCTCTAGTTTTCCACAGCTGTGCCTTGCTCTGGCAACCGCACGTTCAGTTACAATAGCAAGGCCTGTGACCGCACCTGCCTGTCTCTGTCGGACCGTGAGACAGAGTGCCACGCGAGTGCTGTGCCGGTGGATGGCTGCAACTGTCCTGAGGGCACCTACTTGAACCACAAGGCAGAATGTGTGCACAAGGCCCAGTGCCCCTGCCTGCTGGACAGCTCCAAGTTCGTCCAGGCTGATCAGTCAACCATGATCAATGGGGTCATATGGTATGAAGGGCATGGCTGGGCAATGCCTGGTTTGTGAGGGGCCCCGCACACCTGTAAGCTCATGGGTCCCTGCCCCTTTCTTATAGTTACTGCATCAATGGCCGCCTGAACTGCCCACGGCAGGCAGAGATGTTCTTGGGTAAGTGGATACTAGGAGCTGGCCATGAGGCCATCCCATAAGACCCTACACCACTTGGTGTCCCCCAGTCCACCTGACCCATGTTCCTCTTCCCTGCAGCAACCTGCGCAGAGCCCAAGACCTTCCAGTCCTGCAGCCAGTCATCAGAGGACAAGTTCGGGGCTGCATGTGCCCCCACATGCCAGATGCTGGCCACAGGCATTGACTGTGTAGGTAGTGAGGAGGGTTTCCATGAATCTTCAGGAGCCCGATGGAGGGCAGGGCTATGCTGCATCTACAATATCTCTCTATTTATATCTGCATCTCCATAGCCAGCGCTGGTACTGAGTCAGAAGCTGGTTGGCAGCAAGGTAGCTGGAGGACAGGGTCTATACAGTTGTGTGAGGACATGGACTGGCTGCCGCTCGGGAACTATGGCCACCTGTTCCTGTGCATGTGGCAGCCCATTCTGATAAACACACACACATGCAGAGAGAGAGAGAGAGAGAGAGAGAGAGAGAGAGAGAGAGAGAGAGAGAGAGAGAGAGAGAGAGAGAGAATGTTACTGGAAGAGTGGCTTCTCTAGAAGCAAAACTCAGCTACCCACAGAAGGCTAGACAAAAGGAAAGAAGACATGGGGAAGTCTCAGGAGCTGGAGCTGGCGTAGCAGAGTGTTGAGAAACTAAGAACCCTGTCTCCCCACCAGGTACCCACCAAATGCGAATCTGGCTGTATTTGTCCTAAGGGGCTCTATGAGAACAGCGATGGGCAGTGTGTGCCTGCAGAGGAATGCCCATGTGACTTTGCAGGGGTGTCCTATCCTGGCGGTTCTGAGCTCCATACTGACTGTAAGACCTGGTAGGTCATGCCTTAGTCTGAACACACAGAGCCTAAGTGCCATCTATGCAGGCAAGGACTCCCAAAAGTAAGTTGTTCCAGGTGGGGCTCTCAGAGGTGGGGTATCCTAGGGTCATGGCCCAGGTCTCCAGCCCACCTCCTTGTGTGGAAGGACTATCTCTTAACTACTCCTCCCCCTCCATCTCCCCAGCACTTGCTCACAGGGAAGGTGGACCTGCCAGCTCAGCGCACAATGCCCATCCACCTGTGTCCTCTATGGCGAAGGCCACGTCATAACTTTTGACGGACAGCGCTTTGTGTTTGATGGCAACTGCGAGTACACTCTGGCCACGGTAACCACTGGGCCCAGTGCCAAAGACTGCAAGAAGCCAGGGTGGGGATCATGAGGGCTTTTCCTCAATACCCTTTCCTGCAGGATGACTGTGGTGCCAACAGCTCACAGCCTACCTTCAAGGTCGTGACAGAGAACGTTATCTGTGGGAAGTCAGGGGTCACCTGCTCCCGAGCCATCAAGATCTCCCTGGGTGTAAGTGGCTGGGCCCCACGGGGTGGGAGTCCCCAGGTCTCCCAGCTTCACCTTCATTGCACAGCCCTTCCACCATCTCTCATTTGTATCACGGGAAGGGGTGGCAAGAGAATGGTGACCGACTGAGGAGTTGCACATTCAGAACGAGCGGCCACACGGTCTCCACCAGTTTCCCAGGGATGTATAGCATTTGAGGGACAAAAAGTAAAGGTGCTCTCCAGGAAGCTAAGCCTGAACCTTCTATCTGGAACTGGCTCCCAGCAGACACCCCTACACATTGTTTCATTGTTCTTGTTATTGTTTTCAGACAGGGTCTCATGTAGCCTAGCTTAGCCTCAAGTTTCTCATGCAGTTTAGGCTGGCTTTGAAATCTTGATCTTCACAAAGATGGGAATTTATTATGTTGGATTAGACCTCTACCTTCCAAACACTCAAATCAAAGACACCCTGGGTACTGGGGTAGGCAGGAAAAGAAAGCAAATGGTGACAGCCCTCTCCACACAGGGGCTATCCATCACAATGGCAGACAGAAACTACACAGTCAGCGGGGAAGAACCCTTGGTGCACCTTCAGGTGAAGCCCAGCCCCCTGAATCTGGTCCTGGACATAGACATCCCTGGAAGGCTCAACCTGACGCTCGTGTGGAACAAGCACATGAGCGTCTCTATCAAGATCCGCCGCGCCACCCGGGTACGCACCGCACGTCCGCCAGCCAGCCATGGGTCCCAGCTGGTCTAGGGGTGAGGGATTCCCCACCAAGCCTACATGGTTCCCCATCAACTGCTCCCACAGGATGCCCTCTGTGGCTTGTGTGGCAACTCCAATGGGAACATGAAGGATGACTTTGAGACACGCAGCAAGTATGTGGCATCCAGTGAACTGGAATTTGTGAACTCATGGAAGGAGAATCCACTATGTGGGGATGCAAGTTACGTGGTGGATCCCTGTAGCCTAAACACCTTCCGGCGCTCCTGGGCTGAGCGCAAATGCAACATTATCAACAGCCAGACCTTTGCTGCCTGCCACAGCAAGGTAGGCCCTGTCCTCCAAGATGGAGGCATCAGACACAGTCCTCCTACCACGGGACTCCAGTTTGGCTGGAGGGTATCAGGTGTGGAGAGGGGAATACCCATCACCAGAGGCCAGAGCCATCCACAAGTTAAAGAGATGGTTAAAGTGCCCAGACCACTATCCGCTAGAGGACCATACATAGCAGACAACAGTGAGTCAAGTGTCACCTCAGGCAGATAGCTGGCTGCTCTGGGATGCATGGTCCAGAGAAGAGATATTCAGTCATAAGGGACCAGCCATGGCCAGGGGTGAGTTTTCATAGACTCAAGAGTTTTTAGTACAGCCCCTGATCCTTGGTGCTCAGAAAGAATGACAGGGGGCTACTCCAGGCGGCGCAAAAGCCCTGTAGCCAGGGACCATCTGTGTTCAGGAAGGTAAAGAAGGGAGTAGAGAAGATCAGGTATGCAAGCAAGAGGCATACTGCCTTGGTTTGCCACACCCTGGTCCCAACAGGAGTTGTCTCTCACAGACACCGCTGGGCAGGGTTGACTGAGCACCAATAGCACCCACTTCTAGAAGGTAGCAGCTACTGACAATGGCAGCTTACACTAGAAGGTGCTTTCTCAGAGTGCCAGGGCACTCCCCCAACACCTATACCCCAAGGCTGCCAAGTCTGGCCCCAGTCTGCCACCACTGTAATGCCAACAGGAGACCTCTCCCCTCCACAGGTGTACCACCTGCCCTACTATGAGGCCTGCGTGCGTGATACCTGTGGGTGTGACATGGGCGGAGACTGTGAATGTCTGTGCGATGCGGTGGCTGCCTATGCCAAGGCCTGTCTGGACAAGGGCGTCTGTGTGGACTGGAGGGCCCCAGACTTCTGCCGTGAGTGTCTCACCCCATGTTCAAACCTGCTCAACCCAGGGGCCTACCCTGGAAACCTCTCTCCAGGCTGGTACCGGATGCCCTGCAGGGCAACCCCGGATCACCAGCCGTTCCCCAGGCTCTCCCATAGAACCCAAGCCCTTCATACTGGCGCTCGGGCCTTGATGCCAGCTGATGTACATCCTTCCTCTCAGCCGTCTACTGTGACTACTACAACATTCACACACTGGTGGGTGAGAATGAATACCAGTATGCTCAGGAGGCCAACTGCACGTGGCACTACCAGCCCTGTCTCTGCCCTGGCAGCTTGGGGACCTTCCCGGACACAAACATTGAAGGTATTAGGCATGGGGATGCACATGCGGTGCATGCGGCTTTTGTTCGTGCATGTATTCACATAGGTCTATTTGTTTATTCTCTCATGCAGATATATTCACAATGCATCCATTCGTTCACACACAGATCCACTCTCATGCATGCATTCACCCACACATTACTTGGCACACATCTGCCCTACAAGTACACTCATTCACACACACAATCACTCATGCACACTCAGCAAGTGTGTCCTGAATTCCAGGCCTTGCTCTTGACTGGGTACATGGCCTCACACAAACTAGCCCTGCTCTCTGGCCTGGGGAAGATCCTTAAAAACCAAAATAAGGAATTAAACTGCCCAATGACACACCCTACAGTGGGAGGTTAAGACAGGTCCACAGTTAGACGGGTTGCTGCTGCTCTAGAGTCTGGCAGAGTGAAAGATAAGAGAGGCCAGGAGCTGGGACAGACAGGAGTCTCCACATCAAAAAAGAGCAATAGGGCCAGTCATGGTGGTACTCGCCTCTAGTCCCAGCACTAGGGAGGCCAGAGGCAGGCAGATTTCCCTAAGTTCAAAACCATTCTGAGTCACATAGTGAGTTCCAAATCAGCTAGAGCTAAATAGTGAGATGTCTCAAAATCAGAAGCATAAAAAGGCAGTTAAAACACAGGCACCAAGAGCCAAAACAAGGACACACAGGGCAGAGTTCTAGAGTCCGGAAGGTGACTTTAGAGCTGGTGTGACATGACAGGAAGGAGGTGGTGGCAGGAGCATTGAGAAGGGAGCAGAGAACAGTAGTGGGTGAGAAAAGGAGGCTGAGTCTGACCATTTTTTTGCTCCAGGCTGCTACAACTGCTCCCAGAATGAGTACTTTAACCACACAGAAGGGACCTGTGTACCCTGTGGTAAGTCTAGCAGGTGTCCTTGCCACCAGGTAGTAGAGCCCTTGTGTGGGTAAAATCCATCAAGCCTGTCCAGCCCAGTGACTCCTTCCTAGATCCTCTCCCTCAGGACACTGACGCAGAGGCTCGAACAGTGTCACAGGACACAGCAGAAACAAAAATGCAGTACTGGTCCCCTTGGCCTCAGTTCTATTCCCCATCTCAGCCATTACTTAGCCACAATCTTAGGGCAGAGTACCCCAAGCCAGCAAGGTAACTTGGGTACATGATGGGAATTTTCCTGTGAACCCAGCTCTACACTACCCTGCCATGGTACCCTGGCTGGTCTCACACTCTCCCTGCCTGGCTGACAAGGGAGGGAGGGAGGGAGGGAGGGAGGGAGGGAGGGAGGGAGGGGGGGGGGGGGGGGGGGGGGGGGGGGGGGGGGGGGGGGGGGGGGGGAGGGAGGGAGGGAGGGAGGGAGGAGGCAGGAGAGGAATGCGATAGTCAGGCAGCAATTCCTGATGACTCCCTTCTCTTGCAGCACCACCCGCTACCACACTACCGCCAGCCACCACAGGTGATTGCTTACCCACTTGGTACCACAGGATGAAGGCTTCCCGCCTAGGGCTTACCCTAGCTCCAGTGGACAGCCCTCTCTACCCCACCAGCCCAGTCTCTGCATCTGCCGGGTCCTGGGAGGGTGGGTAATGTACCTTGCAGTCCCAGGTCAGAAGGGAAATAGCAAGTAGCGTAGAAAACTTAGCCCCCGGGCATCTGACTGACTTTATGTGAAGTAGGAAGCGGGGCCTCGACAGGTAAGTCCGCCAGGAGTTCATGTTGTCTTCATAGGTCCATGAGCCACTCTGAGCCTTTTGCCTAGCATTCAGTCAGCAGATCAGTCTCTTCCCAAAGAGGCACCAGAGCTAGGTCCTGCCCGTTCATGAGAGTACATATGCCCCACACAGGTTCACAGCCTACCACAGCAACCCCCACCAGCACCGAGTTCCGCAGTTCCAGCTCTGCAGCTACACCTATGGGCCCCTCCAACTTCCCAGGGCTTCCGGCCCCACCACCTTCAGCCCCATCCTCCACTGAGGAAGTAACAGGATGGACCACCCCCAAGAAATCTACAGTCTCCTCAGGAGGTAAAAAGGAGGGGACGCAGTAGAACCCCAGGGTATGGAGTAAGCATCACCGCCTTCCCACTGAGATATGCCTGCAGGCAATGTCTCAGCACAGAGTTCCCTGGGCATGAAAGGCCGGGTGAAAATTTTTCTGAAGACCTAGCTTACAACTCAAGCTAGCTGGTCACTCAGAGTGGACACTCAAGGTCATCTAAAACTCCCACTAGAATATATGAAAGATCTGCTGGGCCTCCATCCTGAAGCCTGCCCCACTCACATACGGCAGCAATCCACCAAGGAGAAAGGAACATCTGTTTAAAGAGCAGAAGTGTAGGCAGAGGGATGATCAGTGGCCCATGAGAGCCTGTGGTCACTGCCCTTGAGATGAGCCCATTCCAGCTAGGGGAAGTTGCAGGCTGGGAAAGAAACAAGACTCGTGTTCATCAAACTATGAATAGATAACAATAAGTATCATGAAGGCAGGAGCAAAGAGGAAGGGACTCAAATATGCATCTGGAAAAAGCAGGTGGGAAGAGTTATTGCCATGACTTTCCTCTACAGAATACTCTCCGATTACTGTGGGTACCACACCACTGACATCAGGTTTGCCTCCTGCATCCATACCGAAGTCAACACCTACAAGGCTCCCAGTGACACAGGCTACAACTAAGCCCACGGCATCTTCCTCCAGCTCGTCCACAAAGACCACAGCTCAGTTCACAGAGAGTACCACAGTGACACCACTAATTTCAGCAAAACCTGGGATGTCCACCAGCCAAGGTGAGTCAAAGCCCACGGGAAGTGAGGGCACCTGAGTCAATTGTTCACCTCTGACCCTCAGTATTGCACATCCAACTCAGAGAGAGGGTCTGTACTGCTCAAGGGGTGAGGGAGAAGGGGAGTCAATGGGGCAGACGAGCTGCAGAAGGAAATGGACACAGCATGACTCCCAGTCACACCTCAGGCCACTGGACAGTCAAGTACAGGAGAAAAGGGCTACATCAAGAAACATGTACAGAAGGGAAGGTCAAACAGAACATTCCAAAGAAAGCCAAGTGTCTCACTGAGCTAGGAAATTGGCTTAGAAAACAAAGTTAGAAAACAGAAAATCCAGTCCAGGAACACAGCAAAGCATATATGAAGGACTGTGAACATAAACTGAACATTGTTCACTGCCATGATCCACAGTGACATCAGCTCAACAGGAAAGTCACCGTCCAGCTACAACAAGCCGATCTACTGAGACCACAGAACTACCTCTCTTGGGAAAGACCACCCTGACCACACAGCAAACAGGGCAAAGCAATACCCTACCACCACCTACTACAAGCACTTGGACTCAAAACACATTATCACAAACCATGCCGACACTTGTGCCCTGGACCACACACTCTCAACCAACCGCTTCTTTCCACACTACAGAACAGTCCACAAATGCTCCATCAGAAACACCTATCCAGACAACAACCACCATTTTGCAGACACAGAACTCACTGCCCTCTGTAAACCCAACACTTTCTACAGCACAGGCACCAACATCTCAGGCTCTCAAGACACCAACTGCATCACATGTACCGCCATCACCATCCATGACACACCCACCTACCACAATATTTCAAGCCACCACAGTTAAGGAAGCAGACACAACACACACATTAACCTCAGGCACCTATACAACCAAATACATGACACAAAGTCAAACCTCATTCTTCACTGAAACCACCTCATCGTCCTTAACACACCCTTCCAGAACAACACAGCAGTGGTCTACAACACTTCCTCCCACTACAGTGTGGAAAACGACAACAATGGGTGTAAACAGTAGCCCGGAAGTCCACACAACTTCTGGAACACCAAGTAATCCTAATACTCCACATACCACAGACCTTTCACCCACTGTTCCTGTCTCCAGTACAATACAGACCACAGGGCCCTCACTGAGAACGTCTCTGCAGACAACTATCACGATCTCAACCCCTTCAACTCCTCAAACTGCATCCACAAAACTGCCATTAACTTCAACTTCCTCTGTGACATCAAATTTAATGACAATGAGCAGCCACACGAGCGAACACACATTATCACTACCCTCAACATCCATGACACGAGAAACTGCTCTCCCAACAATGATGGAAGACACCACAACTCCACAACAAACAACAACACCTGATACTTACACATCCAGTGCCACAACCCAAACCAAGAGCTCTTTCTCCACATACAAGACATCTACTTCCCACAATCCACAAACTTCCACGCTGACCCCATCTCAATCAACATCAGCTCCAGTCTCTTCCATCTTGACTACATCCACTATGGATGTAACTGGCACCCCAGTGGTACACACCACCTCAGGTACACATAGCAGCACCAAAACTCCATATACCCCACACTCTGCACCCATAGCTGCTACCTCAAGTACAACACACACCTCTAGTACCTCAGGAATTTCCCAACAGACCACCATCACCTTCCCAACAGCATCACCTTCTCTGACCTCTGTGACCACACCACAGACATCTTTGTCAACCTCCTCTGTCACAACTTCTGAGGCACTTAACACCCCGACAAGCCAACAGACGACATCATCAGTTCCCACATCCAGGCCACACAGCACCCCTTTACAAACCACAGTGGAGACCACAGGGACCCCACATACACCAACAGCTGTCATTTATACAACCACTGCTACCACACAGTCTCAAAGCACATTCTCCACGGGCAGAACCTCTACTTCCCACCTTTCACCCACTTCCTCCATGACTGCCCATCTGTCCACATCACTTCCCGCTACAACCGTATCAACTGGGACCACCATGGCTGTAACCGGTACCTCCATGTCCCAAACAACCTCAGTGACACCTAGCAGTCCTCAAACGGCACACACCACACGCCCTTCATCCACTGCTGTTTTCTCCAGCACAATACACACCACAGGTCTCCCCTCAGAGACGTCCATACAGACCACCTCCAACGTCCCATCCACATCAGGTCCTCAGACCTCGTCCACACACCTGCCACCATTATCCACTTCCTCTGTGACACCAACTACCGAGGTATTTAAGACGCCAACCAGCCCTCACTCGGTATCACTGGCCTCCACCTCCATGCCATTGAGGACTGTTCTCCCAACCACCCTGGAAGGCACAAGGCCATACAGTACATCAATACCTGTTGCTTACATAACCAGTGCCATCACCCCACCCAAAAGCACACTTTCCACAGACAGGACCTCAACTGCCCTCCTCTCACAGTCTTCCTCCATCACACCTACTCAGTCAACATCAATTCTACCAACTACCAACTCGATGAAGCCCACCATGCCTGTAACTAGTACTCCTGTGTTCACAACCACGTCACACATGCCGAGCAGTGCAAACACTGCATACACCACACACTCTCAAACGACAGCGGCTGTCATCAGCACAACACACACCACCTCTCCCCACTCTGCATCACCTGAGCAGTCCACAACAACCTTCCCAACACCATCAGGGCCACAGATCTCTATGGCCACATCACAGCCACCATTATCAACCTCCTCTGTCACAACTTCTGAGGTACTCAACACCCCGACAAGCCAACAGACGACATCATCACCTCCCACATCCAGGCCACACAGCACCCCTCTACAAACCACAGTGGAGACCACAGGGACCCCACATACACCAACAGCTGTCATTTATACAACCACAGCTACCACACAAGCTCACAACTCATTCTCCACAGAGAGAACATCTACCTCCCACAATCCACAAACTTCCACGCTGACCCCATCTCAATCAACATCAGCTCCAGTCTCTTCCATCTTGACTACATCCACTATGGGTGTAACTGGCACCCCTGTGGTACACACCACCTCAGGTACACATAGCAGCACCAAAACTCCATATACCCCACATGCTACACCCACAGCTGCTACCTCTAGTACAACACACACCTCTAGTACCTCAGGAATTTCCCAGCAGACCACCATCACCTTCCCAACATCATCACCTTCTCTGACCTCTGTGACCACACCACAGACATCTTTGTCAACCTCCTCTGTCACAACTTCTGAGGCACTTAACACCCCGACAAGCCAACAGACGACATCATCAGTTCCCACATCCAGGCCACACAGCACCCCTTTACAAACCACAGTGGAGACCACAGGGACCCCACATACACCAACAGCTGTCATTTATACAACCACTGCTACCACACAGTCTCAAAGCACATTCTCCACGGGCAGAACCTCTACTTCCCACCTTTCACCCACTTCCTCCATGACTGCCCATCTGTCCACATCACTTCCCGCTACAACCGTATCAACTGGGACCACCATGGCTGTAACCGGTACCTCCATGTCCCAAACAACCTCAGTGACACCTAGCAGTCCTCAAACGGCACACACCACACGCCCTTCATCCACTGCTGTTTTCTCCAGCACAATACACACCACAGGTCTCCCCTCAGAGACGTCCATACAGACCACCTCCAACGTCCCATCCACATCAGGTCCTCAGACCTCGTCCACACACCTGCCACCATTATCCACTTCCTCTGTGACACCAACTACCGAGGTATTTAAGACGCCAACCAGCCCTCACTCGGTATCACTGGCCTCCACCTCCATGCCATTGAGGACTGTTCTCCCAACCACCCTGGAAGGCACAAGGCCATACAGTACATCAATACCTGTTGCTTACATAACCAGTGCCATCACCCCACCCAAAAGCACACTTTCCACAGACAGGACCTCAACTGCCCTCCTCTCACAGTCTTCCTCCATCACACCTACTCAGTCAACATCAATTCTACCAACTACCAACTCGATGAAGCCCACCATGCCTGTAACTAGTACTCCTGTGTTCACAACCACGTCACACATGCCGAGCAGTGCAAACACTGCATACACCACACACTCTCAAACGACAGCGGCTGTCATCAGCACAACACACACCACCTCTCCCCACTCTGCATCACCTGAGCAGTCCACAACAACCTTCCCAACACCATCAGGGCCACAGATCTCTATGGCCACATCACAGCCACCATTATCAACCTCCTCTGTCACAACTTCTGAGGTACTCAACACCCCGACAAGCCAACAGACGACATCATCACCTCCCACATCCAGGCCACACAGCACCCCTCTACAAACCACAGTGGAGACCACAGGGACCCCACATACACCAACAGCTGTCATTTATACAACCACAGCTACCACACAAGCTCACAACTCATTCTCCACAGAGAGAACATCTACCTCCCACAATCCACAAACTTCCACGCTGACCCCATCTCAATCAACATCAGCTCCAGTCTCTTCCATCTTGACTACATCCACTATGGGTGTAACTGGCACCCCTGTGGTACACACCACCTCAGGTACACATAGCAGCACCAAAACTCCATATACCCCACATGCTACACCCACAGCTGCTACCTCTAGTACAACACACACCTCTAGTACCTCAGGAATTTCCCAGCAGACCACCATCACCTTCCCAACATCATCACCTTCTCTGACCTCTGTGACCACACCACAGACATCTTTGTCAACCTCCTCTGTCACAACTTCTGAGGCACTTAACACCCCGACAAGCCAACAGACGACATCATCAGTTCCCACATCCAGGCCACACAGCACCCCTTTACAAACCACAGTGGAGACCACAGGGACCCCACATACACCAACAGCTGTCATTTATACAACCACTGCTACCACACAGTCTCAAAGCACATTCTCCACGGGCAGAACCTCTACTTCCCACCTTTCACCCACTTCCTCCATGACTGCCCATCTGTCCACATCACTTCCCGCTACAACCGTATCAACTGGGACCACCATGGCTGTAACCGGTACCTCCATGTCCCAAACAACCTCAGTGACACCTAGCAGTCCTCAAACGGCACACACCACACGCCCTTCATCCACTGCTGTTTTCTCCAGCACAATACACACCACAGGTCTCCCCTCAGAGACGTCCATACAGACCACCTCCAACGTCCCATCCACATCAGGTCCTCAGACCTCGTCCACACACCTGCCACCATTATCCACTTCCTCTGTGACACCAACTACCGAGGTATTTAAGACGCCAACCAGCCCTCACTCGGTATCACTGGCCTCCACCTCCATGCCATTGAGGACTGTTCTCCCAACCACCCTGGAAGGCACAAGGCCATACAGTACATCAATACCTGTTGCTTACATAACCAGTGCCATCACCCCACCCAAAAGCACACTTTCCACAGACAGGACCTCAACTGCCCTCCTCTCACAGTCTTCCTCCATCACACCTACTCAGTCAACATCAATTCTACCAACTACCAACTCGATGAAGCCCACCATGCCTGTAACTAGTACTCCTGTGTTCACAACCACGTCACACATGCCGAGCAGTGCAAACACTGCATACACCACACACTCTCAAACGACAGCGGCTGTCATCAGCACAACACACACCACCTCTCCCCACTCTGCATCACCTGAGCAGTCCACAACAACCTTCCCAACACCATCAGGGCCACAGATCTCTATGGCCACATCACAGCCACCATTATCAACCTCCTCTGTCACAACTTCTGAGGTACTCAACACCCCGACAAGCCAACAGACGACATCATCACCTCCCACATCCAGGCCACACAGCACCCCTCTACAAACCACAGTGGAGACCACAGGGACCCCACATACACCAACAGCTGTCATTTATACAACCACAGCTACCACACAAGCTCACAACTCATTCTCCACAGAGAGAACATCTACCTCCCACAATCCACAAACTTCCACGCTGACCCCATCTCAATCAACATCAGCTCCAGTCTCTTCCATCTTGACTACATCCACTATGGGTGTAACTGGCACCCCTGTGGTACACACCACCTCAGGTACACATAGCAGCACCAAAACTCCATATACCCCACATGCTACACCCACAGCTGCTACCTCTAGTACAACACACACCTCTAGTACCTCAGGAATTTCCCAGCAGACCACCATCACCTTCCCAACATCATCACCTTCTCTGACCTCTGTGACCACACCACAGACATCTTTGTCAACCTCCTCTGTCACAACTTCTGAGGCACTTAACACCCCGACAAGCCAACAGACGACATCATCAGTTCCCACATCCAGGCCACACAGCACCCCTTTACAAACCACAGTGGAGACCACAGGGACCCCACATACACCAACAGCTGTCATTTATACAACCACTGCTACCACACAGTCTCAAAGCACATTCTCCACGGGCAGAACCTCTACTTCCCACCTTTCACCCACTTCCTCCATGACTGCCCATCTGTCCACATCACTTCCCGCTACAACCGTATCAACTGGGACCACCATGGCTGTAACTGGTACCTCCATGTCCCAAACAACCTCAGTGACACCTAGCAGTCCTCAAACGGCACACACCACACGCCCTTCATCCACTGCTGTTTTCTCCAGCACAATACACACCACAGGTCTCCCCTCAGTGACGTCCATACAGACCACCTCCAATATTCCAAGCTCACCTGTTCCTTGGCAGTCTTCCACACCACAGTCATTATTTTCAACGTCCTCTCTGTCCCCCACTCCCACCACCCCTAATACCGGAACTCTCCAACACACACTATCAGTTTCCACATCTATGTTACTGAGTACAATTCTTCCAACAAGCCCAATGATGGGTACACGTTCTCCCACCACAGAACCTCCTGTCTCTTTTAGTACAACTGCTACTACCCCAGTTAATTCTGCATTCACAAGAGCAACAACTCCCTTAGAGCTGAGCCCATCCTCAGTTCCCTACAGTTCTGTTCCCCCTTCCCCTTCTTTTCTCCCAACAAGCTTCCCATCCACTGTGGTTTCTCTCAGTAGTGTCCCACATTCTCCCTCTGTTCCATCCCCCACCTCTGTCCTGTCCACATCTTTTCACTCTTCAGCATCCTCCCCCTCTTCTTCCATGACGTTCCCTCTCAGTCCTACTCCCAGCTCAGCATCACATTCACCATTGTTCACTACCCCCGCCACGGTGTCTTATCCTTCATCCGTTTCTTCCTTTGAGTCCCCAACTACTGCCTCTACTCCTGTTATTTCCTCTGTTTTACCCCTTGTCACCTCGTCCATTCCTTCCTCTGCTCTCCCCACTTTCTACACAACTCCCACCCTATCTAGTAGGCCAACCGCCAGCGTTAGCCCTCTATCCACTGCCAAGACTACATCTTACGTCCCCACCTTTTCTTCGTTCTCCTCAAAGTCCACCACTTCCCAGTTTACTTCCCTCACTACCCAAGCCTCTACATCCGGGCTGCTGTCTTCAACCATGGGCATGACAGTCTTCCCAAGTTCCCCAGACACCAACCACACAGCTAGACCCCCTGGTACCAGCCCACTGCCTACAACTGCGTTCCTGAGCAGCCCTGCTACTACCAGTGGAAGCTCCTCGCCTTCTACCCTAGTGTCACCCTCCAAACCGGACTCTTCGATCTCTCCATCCCCCCAACCTGGTAAGTGGTGCCATTGGCTGACTCCTTGGTCCCAGCCTACTTACGTTCCAGCTGTTTACTCCACAGAATTCTTCACAAGAGTGGTCTGCTATATAGTGTGTTTTTCCTCCCATTGTCCTTTGGTGCTTTTATGAAGGCCTGATCCTGAAGCTTCTTTTGGGTATTTCTGGACCTAACTGCAAGTTCCTTTCTCTTCGCCTCTCACAAGCACTAATTTGTATTCCCCCATCTGTCTGAATTAGGGACTTGATCCCATACATTTCAGGCCCATTTGACTTCTCTAGCCCTCTCTTTCCTACAAGGAACTCACCAGTGGCCCACGTGCCTCTCTTGTTCCTAACGTCTCTAAGCAGCGCTCCACACCTGCCCCCTGGGAAGCTAGCATGTGAGATCTGGTTGGGCCCTGAATTCAGAAATGCAGTCTACCTCAGTGCTAAAGAAAATGATAGCCTTAGTCCTGGCACAGCTCATCCGAGGGGACATGCAGGAGGCACAGGAGGGATGGAGGCCAGGTAAGGCCTGGAAACTAGTGTGTACATTTCTCATTGCCGTGGTTTCCACTCGCTCTGTACCCAACGACAACCAGGGTCCCCACAGGGCAGTGATCCCTACAGGGTCAGCCTGCACAGGAACATGAGTTCAACATATACTGTGAGGACACCTGATTTGAGTGTTCTTCTCAAGACACCCACCTTGGGACCAGGCTCTGCACACATGCTCTAGGCCTCCCTTGTGCAGGAAGTCCTCACAGAGCCAGCAATCAGTTCCTGTCTTATGGTTACAGACTGTCACTTTAAGTTCAGGTTCTTTCCCCTAGAAAATGGCCTTGGGAAGTGAGGAGAGAAAGCAGAGTGTCATTTGAACAGAAGAACACCAGACAATCAGAGCAGGGATAAGCAAGCACAGGAGAGAGACGATAAATATATGGAGCATATCTTTTACCCACAAATCATTTTTAACTTAAACCGTTAAACTTGCAGGAGCCAGTTCTCTCATCATGTGACTTCTAGGGACCTGTTGGACCATCTTACCAGCCCCCAACTTTTTGTTTTGTTTTTCAAGAAAGGGTTTCTCTGGCTGTCATAGAACTCTCTCTGTAGACCAGGCTGGCCAGGAGATCCACCCACCTCTGCCTCCCAAGGGCTGGGATTAAAGGCGTGCGCCACCACCACCCGACCCCAATTTTTAACTTTGTAACCCAAGTACCACTGGGCAGTATCTAACCTGGGCTCTTGAACTCACTGACTTCCCACCTATGCCTCCTGAGTGCTGATTCTACGGGTGTCCACCCCCAGACACTGCCCACACTGGCAGTTCCGAAGGTCAAGAGAACTGCCAGCCTGCTGAGACATCACCACCACCATTTGTCACTGGATGTCATAGCCTCTGAAACCCTTCCAGAAGTCCAGAGCAAAAGGCTTTTTCTGCTGTGTCCCTTAACCCAGGTGGCACAATGCTATTCTCAGATACTGCATGTTCTTTTGTGAGGGACCCTCCTTCGGTCCTTAATATGTCCTACATCCAACAGACCTAAGACACTTTTACTGGGGATTGTGGATGACTGACTCAGATCTACCTGGGCCTGGTTCAATGTCAGATTCTTTAAGGAAGCCTTGAATACTGAAGGGAAAGCTGCTACACAGAGAAGAGAGTCGGGTGGGGACTAGGATGTAACTGAGACCTGCTCTTGGGCCTCCATCTCCAGAGACCTGCAGCTTGCAGGAAGAGCAGCGAGAGATTACCTACCAAGGCTGCACAGCAAACGTGACTCTAACTCGTTGCCAGGGTTTGTGTGCCTCCTCTGTCAGGTGAGTTTTTGGCAAACACCCTCCTTTTCTCTGGGACCCAAACCCAAGCAGGAGCTGGGTTCTCAATGTTTCCCACACCTACTCTGACAAATAGAGTGGTGAGTGGTTCTCAGCCTATGGGTCGTGACCCTTGGGAGGGGGGTTGAATGACCCTTTCACTGTCACCTAAGACAATTGGGAAACACAAATACTTACTTATGATTAATAACTATAGCAAAATTAGTTATAAAATAGCAATAAAAATAATTTTTATAGTTGAGTATCACCATAATATAAGGAACTATACTAAAGGGTCACAGCATTAGGAAAGTTGAGAACCACTGCTCTGGGCAGTTCATTCTGGCCACACTTTCCTTGCCCATGAGCAAGTGCTGACTCCAGAGGGCCTACAAATCAGTTATAGTATCCATTCTACTTTGGGACTGGCCTAGAGGGAGGGGGCCAATCCTGACCATACTGTTCTCTGCTTCTCGGCAGTTTCAATACCGACACCCTGCAGTTGGAGACCCACTGTGGCTGCTGCCAGCCTCTCAATACCTATGAGAAGCAAGTCTCCCTGCCCTGTCCAGATCCCAATGCACCAGGTCAGCAGCTCACACTCACCCTCCAAGTGTTCAGCAGTTGTGCATGTAGCCCCCTGCAGTGCAAGGACTAAATAACAACTGGTTTCTTGGGCACAAGGGGGTCAAAAACAGACAGACACACACGCAAAAGCCATTTCTTGATACTTCCCCAACACTGTAACAAGCAATCCTCTTACTGGCCACCGGCATGGCCTCAAAGAGACCTTGGACATGGCTCACCCTGAGACAGCGGAGAAACACAGCAACAGCTGTCATGCAAAGCCTCCTACCATCTACCTCCTGCAGACCTTGACCAAGCAAAACAGACCTTCTGTGGAAATGAACTACTCACACCCCTTCAACCTTTGATGCCTTGGGAATTTCCTGTCCACCTGTATACACCTCCCAGCCTCTGGCTATAATGCCCAAGAGATCAGAGCACCAAAGAAGGTGCTGGGAAGACTGGGCGGGGTACCTGGGGAGACACTGGGAATAACAGGAGGAAGATGCAGGAGTATGAACCTTGGGTAGGGGCAGGCAGCAAGATAAGCACCAGAGAGGCACAAGGAAAGGTCTCCCCAGAGTCAGGGAGAAGTAAAAGGCATTGACACCCGCTGGACAGGAGGCCATCACCCAAAAATGAGCAGATTCCAAATAAACTGGTTCTTTTCAAGGCAGAACCTGGTGTGTGCGTGCTGCTGTCTTCTTCCAGGATCCTGAGCATGATGTCACAAATATTTGCACAGAGCAGGTCATCAGGACCTGGGACTGTGCTCGGTGGGGCTAAGACAGAAATGCCCTGGTCTTGAGCTACTTCCATCCAGGATTTTGCTAAGTCTATGATGAACGAAACCCACTATCTTCCAGGCTTCCCAGGCAAGGACCATCTCTCATGTGCAGCCCCAGACTGGGGCAAGGGAGAGAAGTCCTGAGTCCATGGGTCCTATGTGCTTAGATCAAATCTTCCAGGCACAGACTTCAGTGAACTGGAGCCACAGACTTATGGTAGTATATGGACCCATGCTAGGCTCAACACACCCAGCATCACACAGACAGAGCTAGGGCAATCACTTCCTGAGGTACCCCTGAATTTAGAGGCAAGTAGCACTTGAGAGTCCTTGGTTCTGAGTTGTACTCAATTCCACAGGGCAAGGACTGAGGCCAGTACCGGACACTCCCCATAAAGATCACACAAATGTTCCAGTTTCCTGTCCTAGCATTTATTATTTTTTTTTCCTCTGAGAACAAGCACGCTGTACTAACGGAGGCCCAGGAGTCACAAAGAGTGGGCCTGTGCCCCAGCAGCTTCCATGTGCAGGGACATTACTGAGCTAGACACCATCACTGGATAGCACATGGTAATAAGCCACAGCCACACAGACTGAGCTCTCAACATGGTCCTTGCAGCCGTGTGTGGATTGCATGTAATAGAGAGCCACGATGTCCAGCTACTGGAGCAAGAGAACTCCAGAGGCTCACTGTGGCCACAACTAGATCATCCTCCTGCAACACAAGCCTGTGCCGTGGCAGATATGGATCACAACAAATGGCAGCCAGACTAAGGGCTTCATGGAACACAAGGGTCAGCATAGCAGGTGTTGGTTGTTCTGAACTAACTGCCCGGGCTGTACATAGTGGGGCTGCAGGAGCTTGAGTGGGACAGGAACCCTGCTACTATCCCTCAGATCCACCATGGCAGGCTGGCAGCCTGAGGGGGGAAAAACCCTCATGCATATGTGACCACACCTAGTGCTCTAAGTGAGCAAGGGGCATCAACACTGCTGTGTAAGTACAGATAAGCCTGTACAGCTGATCCACAGCAATCCTGGGCATCATCTCAAGACCGAGTGCAGGGCTCCAGCCCAGTATCCCAAAGCTTCTGACATGGTCAATGTTCTTCCCCTGATGGGCCGCACATACAGTCCAATGCCCCCAAAAGGGTAGCTAACAATTGAGTCGCCAGTACTCAAGCTAGGAAGTCCAGTGCATTCTTAGCAGAGCACTTGCCTGGGCTGCCATTTTCACCCCTGCCTCTCACTTCAATACTGCAATTAGGCCTCCCTTTTCCACCCAACCACAAGGGCTTCACAGAAGTGAGAGTGCAATACTGGGGCACCAACTAAGACCCTCTGGAGAGAAGCACACTTTATGAATTATTACTTCACCACCTGACCCATTAACCTTCAAGTCCCCAGAATGTACTATAAGAACAGCACATTCATTAAAAACAAAAGATGGGTGATGTCCATGTTTTCCAAAATCAATAGGAACCCTCTACCCATCATGCTGCAAACCTAAGGTCCCAAATAAGTAGTAAAATATTTAAGCTGTCCCTTTAAGAACACTGGTATGCTAGGCACAGGATCCTGCCATGAATGGGGCATGGAGTTTGCCGACAGTCATAAACACAAGCCTTTCGGCACCATCGGTTAGTGCTATAGCAAACCCCAAGAGCTCTGCTCAGCCCATGTGGTCACACACCTCTAGGCCACTGCTGTTACCATCCAGCATGGCCACATAGCCCTGTGTTAACCTTATAAGCACATGGCGCTGTTTCTGGATTCTGAGAATGAGTCAGTGGCATTTTAATAAAATTTGAACAAAATTTCCACTTTCGTTCAAACTTCTAATTTCCCTTTAATTTGTAGTTGAACCACGGGACTGCCTTGAATTTCCAGGTCCAGGCACCCTTCTTTGATGGAGCAGGCCTGCTGCAGCCCTTCTCAAACTGTCCTGCATCCCCTCCACACCCACAGGGCTGGCTGCAGGAGTACGACTGGAGGTGCCTTGAACGGCAGCTTTTCAGACAAGGGGTGTTTATCTGCAGTGCGGTACAAAGACAAACGGTAGAGACAAGAGAGACGCACAAACAAAAAGCCTGCTCTTCTGGCCTGTGGATTAGAACTGTTCCGACAGCAATTCACATAGTCTTTGAGAGACGGTGTCTTTGCTGGTACGCAGGGTGAGTCGGTACATCTGAAATAGAGAGCAGCAGGGTGAGCAGGCACTGAGCCCCAAGCTCTTAGGTATTTTTGTGGTACAGGCCTCATCATTCACAGAAGCTCCCACCCCCCGCAAGCATCAGTTTTACCAGTAAAAATAGAAAAGTCTAATAAAAGCAAGTGTTTGCAGCAAAGGGGGATGGATGTTAGTGAGATAGGAGTCAGCCTTTTGTATTCTGAGACACAGTCTTACTGTGTAGCCCAGGCTGGCAAGCTGTTAGGCCTCCTGCCTTCTCATCCTGAGTATTGAGATTATAGGGATGTACCACAATACACAACAAGCTTGAGAGCTTCTCATCAAGTTAACTATGCAGCACCCTTAGAGATGACCATTACACTCCCCAAAGCACCCAAGTGTTGTGAAAACAAGTTCCCAAAATCAATAGAATACATAGACTGGAGTCTCTACAACACTGCTGAAGCAGCAGCAATGTATACCACGTTCAGGGAGGGAGGAAGAACAAGATAGCACCAGGAGAGCTGGGCAGACACAACTCAGAGCTAGGCTACTACATGGGCAACGTGGTGGCATGCCAGGCCTTCTGTGAGGAGAGGGAAATCTATGTGCTCTGATGGCCACTTGCTGTCTAAGTGTCTGCACTGTCATATGACCAACACTTAGAATCTGAGTGTCTCCATAAATAAACTTCACCAAAATAAAAAACAACACAATCATATTCATCCTCCTGCTGTGGAGGCCTCACCTGAGCTTGCAGATTTGGCTCCAGGCGCAGCAAGCAGCCGATCTGGGTGGTTTTGGTATGGATTATGCCAGCACCCACAAAATTTGCAGGATTCGGATCAACTTCCTCAAGGAGTGCAGAACCAAATCCAATAATCTATACAGAATGAAGAGGCAGGTCAGGATGCACTGGTCACAATTCCTGCCTCAGCAACATCGCCATACAACCCTTTACCTTTGCTTTAGTGATCTCTGTGTCCATCGGATGCTTTGCTTTGAAGATATTCTGCACTTCTTGCTGTGGACTACAAAAAGCAGCATGTTAGTACTATAAACCATGCAGAGACCCATAGATTATCCTGTCCAAGGACAGCCCCATTTCCCTCTCCACCCATAGTACAGCCCTCTCACTTGCTCAACTGCTTCCAACGTTGAAAGAAATCCTGAGAAGCCATTTCTGTGGGCTGGAAAAATTTGTTGAGTGTAATGGGCAGCTTAACAGACACATTCTGGAAGGTACCACCATACCTATAACAACAGAGTCATGTTATGGAGAACAAATACCTGGTCAAAATGTTCCAGTTCATGGGTCTTCAGAACTTAGAGAATGGCCATGTGGCCACCCATCCCAATAACAGCCACTAAGACTGCATACCAACAGTATTCTTGGAGGGGCTAAGCCACATCCTCCACCTGTTACAGTCCATGTCTATGCCATTCACAGGTGAGCAAGGGACCAAAGTCACTGCTTTGTGCCAAGTGTCAAAGGACCGGTTCCTCTCAGTCCTACTCCTTTGGCAAATGAAGACCCAGGACAGGCCCAAGCAGACTATCAAATCAATTAGCCTTGTAGCTCCCCAAACAAGGAACCATTGTGATGACTAAAAGTAAGACTACATGCCATGACCCAGAAGTCTAACTCCAACACCATCTACCATCATTGTCCCTCAAGCTGTCCTTTCAAGCCAGCCTCAGCAGACAGACTGCTACAGGCTAATGCTCTTGTACACTGTAAAAATTTGTCACTCATATTGGTTTAATACAACGCTGATTGGCCAGTAGCTAGGCAGGATATATAGGCAGGGCAACTAGACTAGGAGAATTCTGGGAAAAGGCAGAGCCGCAGTCACGAGAGACGTAGTGGAAGCAAGATGAGAATGCCTACTAAGAAAAGGTTCTAAGCCATGTGGCTAAACATAGATAAGAATTATGAGTTAATTTAAGTTGTAAGAGCTGGTGAATAATAAGTCTGAGCTAATAAGCCAAACAGTTTATAATGTGTGTATTTGGGACTGAATGGCTGCAGGACCAGGCGGGACAGACACTTCTGTCTACACAGCAAGAGAGCCTGGCTCTCTGCCTCCTGGGAAGCAGGCCTTTCCATGTCTCACCACAAAATCACCTGGGTCAGAAATAGCCTAGCCCACAGACCACACAGGAGACTCAAATCCCATGGGTGCCATGTCATGGTCACAGAAGCCTCCTCCCTCTCCACTTGCTCCCATCCTCTGGAAGCTCCAGGTCTGGCAGGACTTTGCATACATGCACAGTGGCAGGGCAGTAACTAATTAACACCCTTGAGAAGCACACAGGTTGGGAAAGGACACAGGAAGCGCAACTCCCCTCACCTGAACTGGATGTTGAGGACAGGTGCCTCTGTGAAATCAGATATACACTCAATGTTGACCACCTGTTGCACCTGTGCGCCTCCATCCACAGTTGGGTCCACAGGCTTGGTCTGCAGGTTCAGATGTGAGCACATTAAGGAGTCCAGGCAGGCAGGGAAAATGGGACTAGCACAGCCAGCCCACAACAGAAAGCAGCAGGGGCCCCCTACAAACCACTCTGCCAGCATCATAAATCAAGGCCCAGAACTGTTGCCAGCCTGTCCTTCCACCATTCAACATGTCCCACTGGCCCAGACCACCCACAGTCATTATGTATCTGACTAGTCCCTTTCTCTAAAAGACCTTGGATGTTATACCCTAGCTGCATACTGGCCTTGACACTGCCCAAGTGAGCTCTGGAACTGTGATGACTCCTGCTGTGCTCAGTAAAAGCTTTGAGTTAGTAGAAGCTATGCCTGCTAACTCAAAGGCTTTATAGATCAGTGTAGCTCTGCACTTCTGCAAGCCAGAGGTTGCAACATGTGAACTGAAGCCTCTAAGTTCACTGAAACACCTTTATATCCAGGATCCATGGAATCATAACTAGACTTGGGCAGTTTCTGCTTCCCTCTGCATTCTGCATAGCAACCTGTGCCCACACTTCATGACCCCACGAAAAAGACACACATAGACAGTAAGTAGTTCTGTATGCATCGGTCCTTTTTGTGTGTAACAGGGGAATGCTGGAGATAGAACTAGGATTTTGCTTATACTTCGTAAGTGTGCCTTCCACCACTGAGTCACATCCCTAAACGCTACCCCAGTATTTTTTACTTATTTCCAAATAGTTGTATATTTAAATACATCTCCAATTGAACACAGATCTACTACAAAGATGATACCCACTGTTCTACATACTATGAGTTGAGCCCAAGGTTCGTATGCCTGGCCGTTGTGGATCGTGATCTGCAAACTGCAGCGGACCCCAGCTGTCCATCTCTCACAGCCCCTCAGCTGCAGCCATCCAACATTCCTGACCATTCCTGATGACTACATGGAGCCATCCTCTACGTGAGCAAAGGATGTGCCAAATAAAACCTAAGCCCAGCAAGCACGAGATGCTCCATACTGGCTAGTTACCACAGGATCACTCTGCCTTCGGCCACAGCACCTATAGGGGGACTTCACAGAGTAAAGGGCAAATGATATCCACAGGAGAACAAAACAAGCAGAGAGTGACTCACACAACAAGATGAAAGGCACAGCTGTGTGGGTGGTGTCGGATGCACCATCAGGACAACTCAAAGGGAAGGCCGTGGTTTGACTGGGATATGGAAAACACTGCCATTTGAACAAAAACAGCACCCCCCCAACTTCCTCTAACCCTAATTGCTGTCTGTCTGTCTGAGACCCTAGAGATAACAAGGATATTAGCCTGAAGGTCATCAGCACAGATTAGTGTTGGAGTGAAGTTCAGGAACTGCGTAGAGGTCTTGTTACCATAAAATATGAACATTCGGCCTAGGAAGAAACAGAGATAGTTTGTTTTATAACACATTATGTCACACTTATCATGAATAGTCAGTCAAAAGTGGCCCCTGCAATTCCCAGTTAGATATATTATTGTAAACTATGACTATTGCTAAAATATAAAAACAACTTTGTGTGTGTGTGTGTAACCAAACAGTTGGTTTGGTCTCACTATATAGCTGCCTCTGGCCTAGAACTCTCAATGTATTCCTGGCTGGCCCTGACATGACAACCCTTCTGCCTCAGCCTCCCAAATGCTAGGATTATAAACACAGGCCACTATACTAAGCTTCTAGTTTAAAAGTAGCATAGCAGGCAGGCAAAGTAGCATTTGCCTGTCATCCCAATGCTTGAGAGGTAGAAGCAAGAAGATCAGGGGTTCAAGGCCAACCTCATTTACATAGAACATTTGAGGACAGCCTGGGCTAAGTAAACTGGGTAGCTCTCGCCTTTACTCCCAGCAGAGGCAGGCAGATTTCTGTGAATTCAAAGCCACTCTAATCTACAGAGAGCAAGTTCCAGGACAGCCTCCAAAGCTGTAGGGAAAAACAAAACAAAAACAAAACAAAACAAAAAAAAAAAAGAACCTGTTTCAAACAAAAAACAAAAACCAAATTTTTTAATAGCATGGCAGAATGAGAAAAGGGAAATGGGGATGGGAGGGTATCTTCTCTTTTGCCCCTCATACCTGCCCTTGGGCCTCCTTTTTACTCAAGGGTAGAAGTCACATTTCTGTACATTAGAACCACAACCACAGACACAAGGTCAGGAGGGTCAGTAGCCCAAGCAGGACACCAGAGCCTTCTAAGGAACAGCCTGCCCTGTGTTGAAGGCACCTAAACCCACCCATACATCTTCCACTTTTGTCTACCAGCTGACTCACTCGGTGATACTAACAGCCAGGACTGTCCTTCTAACATGCCATGCCCCTGCCCCTACAGTGACCAATCAGGACATGCTCCCTGTACCAAATGGCTAGATCCTGTTGACACTTACACCCTTGGAGTTCAGAAACGAAACCAAACACTAAAAGTTGTGAAAAAAAAGTTTAGCTTCCCTCCTCAACCAAACCTGGTGAAATCACCATGACAAGGGGCAAAGCCTTGGTCGGACCAGACACAGGGGGGGCAGTCTCATCAGCCTGGCATCTCTCAGATAAATGCTACTGGTCCCCACAATCCTGCAGGGATGCAGGGCAGGCCTACTCCCTTTTCACAGACATCAAATCCACCTTAGTAGTAACTCCAACAGTGTGGTGGGCAAAATGTTTTCTTTTATGACTCAAAAAAATTCCCTTCCTTTTTAATTGTAGTAAAGTGTATATAAGTTAAGTCATGCTAGGCGCATAGCTTAGTAATGTATAGCTATCCCCAACATCCAATTTTCCATGTTACTAGTCAGTGCACAGATTATAAACATTTCTCATTATATAATTTCCTCTAATTCTTTTTGGTTTTTTAAAATTACTTTAGTTTAGACAGAATCTTACACTATCACCAAGGTTAGCCTGGAACAAATGACAATATCCCCGTCTCAGTCTCCCAAGAGACTTATCTATGTATTATAACATAGATAATCCCAAAAGAATTATCTATGTTAGACCCACATGGAATTCAACAGGTTACATTTGTGTGTCACCATGCTTGGCTATTTCTCATAATTTCTTTTTTTCTTAAAGAAACAAAGTAAAACACATACCTAAATTCTGCCGAAATTCAGACTTAAGTCCAATCTGAAGCAGCTGGTTCTCAAACAACACACCATTGTTTTTACAAACAAACCTAGGAGAAAAGGACAGTGAAGCATCACTCAGAGCCACCTGCAGCAAGCAAAGTTAGAAAGGGTTTACAGTATTTTGGAGCTAAAATATTTCTGTGGAGACAGGAGAGACAAAGTGAAGAGCTTCAAGGATCTTTCTTATCCCAGTCTTTAGAGCTGGAGCTAGAAGCCAGTATCTGGTGGCAAGCTTCCTCAGGTGCCACTCAGAAACAGATGGTGTCACCTGTGACTATCACCCAGGGAGATCTGGGGTAAGGAGGCTAGGAATGGGGAATATGTAGAGGGTGCAGTTGGATTTTCAGTGCCTGAGACAGTGACATGTGGCAGCACATCTTAAGGTCTCAATGCACACTTGAATAGGCTTAGGGACCAAGCCGAGTGACCTCTGCCCTAGATCATACAGCAATCAGCTCAGCCAACTTTTCTACAGTTGAGCTGTTCCCTTGTGCCTGGGCACGCAGGGCAGAGGACCTCTGCAGCTCCCACTCTGCACTGTGCCACAAGAACAATGGAAACAGAGTACCCTCTGAACATACCATAGGCCCAAATGCCAACAGCTCTTCCAAGTCATCCAGCTACAACCCAACACTGTCCCCCAGTTCTGGCAACAGTGAAATGTCCCAAAATAAAACACTGCCTATTCTGAATAAGAGATAATTTTTCTAACACTTCTGAGAACATATAACAGCACACATGAGAATGACTGTTCTCTTGTAGGATGTGGCTGGGCTCCAAACACTAGCACAGGGCCTGCTACCCTAGGCCAGCACTCTACTCAGGCCCAGCTTGGATGTTACTCAAGGAGCCTAAGCAGAAGTTATGGGGCTCACACACTTAGATCTGGATATCAATCTATCATCCAAATGATAAAGAAGCCCTGCCATCCATGAATGTCCAGCTGGCTATTTCCAAAAGGTCACTTCAATTGCACTTGACCTAAGAGAACTCATAGGTAAACAGTCATGTTAAGCTTATGGAGAATGCAACCTCCCTCATGCATGCTGCACTGCCCAAAGCAACAGGTCCTTCCGCAATGCACCACACAAACATCATGTGGTAACCCTGTGTGGCCACATCAAAGTCAAGACTGGCAAATCCCTGCACAGGGTAGTATCCTGAAGAAATGTCCCAGAACCCAAAGAGATGGTATCAAGGATCAGACCAGTAGGCCAGGATAAAGAAAAGTGCATGACTTACTGGAGCTGGACAGCACAAGCCAGAACCTTACACCAACACAGGAAGACTCAAGTCTGCAAACAACTAACACCCATATTCCCTACCCCCATCTTCACAGGACACCAAGGAGTAGCTAACCCACAGCCCATGGCTGTCATGGAGTAACAGTAACTAAGCAAAGCTAGGGTACTCCTAGATACAGACCCTGTAAAAACTAGGGTACATAGCTGAACCCCATGTTGCCCCTTCAACAAGGGTCTACAAGGAAAGCTGGGTTTTCCACAGCTGTAAAATACCAAGCTCAGCAATTCTCAAGCCATCAGAGGTCTGTTCACAGCCTGCTCCAAACACACATTTCCTAACAGGAAGGAAGGATCATGTGCAAAATGAATACAAGGAAATGAAAACTCTAAAACCACAAGAACCCTGGTATCATCTCCAGGCAGGAAACACAGGTTATCCTAAGATACATTCTAACCTCCCCAGACAAAATCCATTGCCACTGGAGGGTACAAGTGAGGAGCTTCACATCAGCCATGAACCAGGATACAGCGGAGTAAGGAGCAGCAAGGGAAGCTGGCAAAATCAGCCAACAAGAAGGAAGGTGATTCTAAACCTTTGAAAGTAGAAAACAGAGAAAGTGGGTGGACAAGGGGCATGTAAGTGAGCATGTAAGGGGCATGACCCAGGGAGTCAGCAAGTGATGTGGGATGTCCTTCTTGTAGATGTGTTGCTTTTAATGGCTAATGAACAAAGCTGTTTCAGCCAGTAGCTTAGTAGAGTAAAGCCAGGTGGGAAATCTGAACAAAGATATATAGAGAGAGTAGGCAGAGTCAGGTTTGGAAGAGAGAAGAAAAAGTATAAACAGTGTAAAAAAGAAGTAAATAGTTATAAAAAAGTTTTAAAGAAACAGTAAAAGTAATATAAAAAGTACAGACAGTCATAGATTAAAAGAGTAAAGAAAAATAAGCCATGTAAAGATGGAAAATACACAAAAAAATCTGGATTATGTTTATTATTGTGTTTTCTTTGAATTTTTTGACTGTTAATGAGCTAAGTAGAGAAAGACATTCCATTGTACAGGCTGCTAAGAAAAACCAACATATATATTTTAATGGTATCTTGACTTCAAAATTTGAGTCAAAGGATATGTTACCTTGGAAAAGAGATTCCCCATATGTATATTTCTACTCTTGTTTAAGATATTATGCTTATGCGGCTCATTTAAAATATAATGTATAATTAAGAAATACAGGTTAATAGATAATCATCTAGATATATAGAGATATATTTCAGTTAAATATTCTTCAAACCTTTCAAAGATCTACAGAATGCAGCATTTAAAATGTTTTAAGAACTTAAGACTTTTTTCGACAGTGAGACATGTCTGCTTCTGGCAGCACTGACTATTTCAGAGAGGTTTGTGAACAGTGAAGAAACTCGTTATAGAATTTGCCTTCAATGTGACAAGGCTAGCCATTTGGTTCTTGCTTGGACTGCTTGATTAGGTCCTTCAGGGTTCCTGCTTCACTTCACAGAGGAAACTGCCTGACATTCTGCAGGACACAGAAGAAAGCAACTGATGAATATTGCCATTACAGAACAGATCTTTAAATTTCTTGTTTCACGCAAAATTTGCTGGATACTATGGGCCTGTGGGCTAAAGATGGATGCACCAACAATACAGAAGAACTTTAGGTGACTGACTATCCAGGCAGTAAGATGTCTCTGTCAATTCTAGAGTTTTGGAAGTTGCTTACTTACAGTGCATTTCCTGTTTACTTAGGTAATATTATATCCTTCTGGGGTCTTTGAAGAGTTGAAGACAGACAGTTATAGTTTATCTTAGTTATGATAAAGGATCAATTATATATAAAACTTTAGACTCACAAAGATAGAATAGATAAGAGTATTTTCCTTAATTTGTCAAATGCAAATGAACTAAATATTATAACTATAATTCTTGATAACTGTTTTGTATACGTAATTTTACTGTGTTAAAGTTAAAACCTTCCTTTTTATTTAGACAGAAAGGGGGAAATGATATGAAATGCCCTTCTGCATATATGCTGCTTTTATTCAATAATGAATAAAGCTGTTTCGGCCAATGGCTTAGCAGAGTAAAGCCAGGCGGGAAATCTGAACAGAGACATAGAGAGAGAATGGGTAGAGTCAGGGAGACACCATGTAGCTGCCCAAGAAGTAAGTGGTAACATATCACAAGCCTTGTGGTAAAATACAAAATAACAGAAATGGGTTAATTTAAGATATAAGAGCTAGCTAGAAATATGCCTGAGCTGTGGGCCAAACAGTGCTGTAATTAATAGAGTTTCTATGTAATTGTTTGGGTCTGGGCAGCCAAGAGATGAACGAGTAGTCAGGGTTCCTGCTTCAAGCAAGAAAGAGCCAGGCAGGTGCCTGAGGCTATGGTGAAAAGGCAGCTATCTATGCACAGCACTGAAGGGGATTTAAAAGGGTATCTGTTAGAAGGTAATAAAAAAACCAAACTGACAGAGAGGAAAGCACAAGGGACATGGGGGTGGGGGTGAGGGTGGGGGAATAAGTGGGAAGAAATAAGCTCAGTATTTATCAAATGTCAAAGAAAAGAAACAGCAAGGGTACCATCCGACTCCAAAGCAAAGCACAGGCACTCACATGCTCTCTCTCAACAAGAACACCAGACCCCTCTCTAATAGTACTTTAGGTGTTAGGGACTAAGCACAGAATCACCCATGAGGTACAGCTCCCACCATGCCACCCAGGCAGTACTCAGAAACTGGGCTACCTGGCAAAGTTGTCTTCGGAGCCGGGTGCAAGAGGTGCAACTGCAGAAGCTGAGTCTGAGAACACGTCCACTAGCAGCCCACCGCCAGAAGAGGAAGGGGGCCCCATGGGAGCAGGGGGAGCAGCTCCCAGACCCAGCAGGTCTGCTGATGGAGAAGGTGTAGACTGGAAGATAAGAAAAGGGAACATCAGCATGGATCCTTGGATGCTCAAGACTCACACAGCCCTGTGTCCACTCCCAGGTCAAGTAACGAGGAAGTTGGGGAAGGGGGCAGGGAGCAGTCCAGAAACTACAGACCAGCAAGAGAGAGCTGCTGACCACATACAAAATAAGCCTACCCATGAGTTTAGATGAAGACATTCACCTCATTATACCATCATAATTTCATACAACTAGAAAGTCGTCTGCATTTTCCCACAAATGCTATTTGAGCAAAACGACAAAGTTCTAAAAATGTTTTGCCACCAAAAACGTTGAAATACAGGGGTTAAGAAATAAGTTCATGCACATTACTGTCAACTGTTCAAAAACAGTAAGGTTTGCATACGGTGCAAACAGGGGAATAGGGAGTTCAAGGTTATCCAATGCTACATAGCAAGTTCTAGGCCAGTTTAGGCTGCACAATGAATTCCTGGCTACAATATGAAGGCCTAGTTTCAAACAAACAACAAGAGAAAAGTTTTGGTGTGTGATCTACTGAGTTTAATAAGGGCCATCTATATAAGGTGGTGGAGCTCTCTGTTGGAGCCTGGTGGGCTCAGCAGTGAATGCACAAGTGAAGATTCCACCTCTCTCAGAATCTATCAATAGCCAAAAGCTCATCAGCAAGGGTTAGAGTCCTGTGAATCTTTCTCTCATCCACAACTGACCGTTGACAGGAATGAAAGAAAGAAATGTGCAGGAAGGGAAGTGGGTGGAAGAGGTGGGAAGAGAGTAATCAGTATATATTATACACATGTGTGTAATTATCAAAGAGCAAATTTAGTTAATAAACCTGTAAAATTCAAAAAAGAAAAAAAAAAGATGCAAAGGTAAGCAAACAGATTGCTAGGATGCATTCTCAGCTCAGCATTAAGTCTGCTTCCATTATGAAAAGAAGCAGATAAACAAGCACATACACTTCTTACAAACCCTTGTTTTTAGTCCAGGCAAAAGCATAAGAAAAGAGCCCTTGAAGCCAGGCAGTAGTGGCGCATGCATTTAAACTCAGCACTCAGGAGGCAGAGGCATGGGAATCTCTGAGTTCAAGGCTAGCCTGGTCTATAGAGCAAATTCCAGGAATGCCAAGGCTACACAGAGAAACCCTGTCTTAAAAGAAGAGGAGAAGGAAGAGGAGAGCAAGGAGAAGGAGTCCTTGAAGTCATTACTGTATCACTCAGGACAAGGGCATAGCTTGTCACCCCACATTCAATACCTAACATTCACAGACCTGACTTACCCAAAGGTGCCCTGCCACACCACGGCCAATTCACACACCTGTGTGCTGTCCACAGAGCTCCCCAGGCCAATCTATAAATGTGGGGTGCTGATGGAATGAGACCCTGTGTTCAAGAGTTACTTTGAATAACTTTTGAACATCCATTGGTCATTCACAAAGGCAAACATCAGGAAACTAGATCCTGAAGCCGTTCTAATAGAGCACATCTTGGACAGAGCGGGTGCCCAGTGGCTGCAAGTACCCTGCACACAAGTGGCAACGGTCTGTCCCAACCACAGAAACTCCTTCAAGTAGGGGCAGAACTCAGAGTGGGCCTCAGCAAAGAATGCTGAGTGTAGAAATATATTAACAGGGAAGCCAAAATGTTTATTCTTTGAAACAGATGTAATATGCTGTGCTTTTATAGTTCATGTGTAGGCATGTGATGATGTGTATGAATATTATTTCAAATAAATGAGACACCCAGTCTTTGTCATGTAAGGAGCAAAGGTATGAGTGACAGCCTTGCCAGACCTTAGGCCAGGCACAGTCTTAATTGCTGCTATTGGTCAGGAAATAAGGAGGCTGGGGACATAGTAAGCTTCTGGGTCCCCTCATGTGGCTGCATAACTCTTTCAAAAGGGCTACCAAACATAGCAACACATATTCCCCTCCAAAGGGAACAGGGTCACAGAGAGGCTGGCCAAAGAAGAACTAGAAAAGCCTGGGATCATAGCATCTGATGAACCGCATCTACAGCAACCCAGGGCAAAGGTGGTCACAAGACCACATTTCTAGCTCTGCTTTAGTTAAAAGACAGTAACAAAGCTCTCCAAATGGCGTCTCCCACCAATGACCAGCAGATGTTGTGTTCCTCCATCCACAGAAACAGCTCCATTGTGTCACATCAAAGGGAAGTTTGTTCTACTTCAGTCACTAAGGGAAACCTCCAAGAGGAAAAAGGCAAGCAATTCTAAATTTATAAAGAACACACACCAGGTCTCCTCTAGAAGTGTGTAGTCTTGGGTCTAAAATAAGTCCACCACAGAGAGCCACAGGTGCTCACCTGACCCCAAAAAGCTAAAAACTGGTCTTATAGAATAGGTTGCCCTGACCACATGCCCAGCACTGGATTCCACTGGACTACCCACAATCTTTCTCACAGACACCAGGACTGTCATTCCCAAGTCTAGGAACAGAGGCCCTAATGGGCACCAGGTACACAGTGGCAGGGACCCACCGCTGCACTGGTGCTGGCTGGAACAGGTTCAGGACCCCCATTCACATCGATGCTTCGCTCACGCTTGCTCTCCTCCAGGTCAGTCACTGTGCTCGGGCCCTTCTTCTTCTTCAGCTTGGCCAAGATGGAGGACTCACGCTCAGGGAAGGGTGGCATCTCCTCCAGGACAGTTGCCTATTGGAAGGAATAGAAGTTGGTGTGGCCATTCTGGCACCCATTACCAGCCCAGTGGCCCCAGCACCAAACAGCCCGGCCAGGAGCCCGCACCAGGATGTCAGTGCTGGCAACAGTACTCAGTCGCAGGTACTCCACAGCCCGCTGCTGCAGCTCCACATCTGCATTCTTCAGTTGGCTGTCGCTGCGCAGCACGTCCTGAATGGTAGCCTTTACCTCTGGAAAGAGGTTCACGAACTTGATGTAGGTGGACAGCAGGAGTGCCCGGGTGGGGACGCTGCACAAGTGGAACTTGGAGTGGAGCAGGTTGAACTGGATCAGAGGGCTTGAGAGGGGCAGAGAGCACAGACGGGGAGTCACACTATCTCATCTGTCCCATGTGCTGTCTTGTGTTCAGCCTGCACCTGCAGTGGGGACCCTATGCTAAAGCAGTGCCTCTTTAAGGAGGGCATACTGCCAGCTCCCAGTGTAAGGGTTTCCTCCTCCCTCAGGATATCAAAGCAGTGTAGACAGGGAGCAGGGCAGTCCAGTGCAGTGCATACCCCTGGTTCCCTGGGGTCTTTTACCTGGAACGTGGGTCCCCAGCTATCAAGTTTCCAAACTCCCCCAGGATGTAGCCTCCCACTTTGACCAAGTTCTCATGACACGCTGGAGCCTGCAATGCCTGTGAAACAAGGAACATCAGGAGCTAGGCCACAGAAAAGGCAGCTGACATGAAGTGAAGCCACAGCAGACACACAGGCCCTTCCTTGCAAGGTATATTTTGAAGTCAGTGAGAGCTTCCCGCTAAAGCCCTGGCAAACCCTGGCTTCCTACAGCTGGCTGCAGTGCCAACAGCAGAGGGCCCAGCAGCAAGACCAGTGACTATCCCTAGAGACTCTTGAGATGATGTCCCTCATGCACAGGACAGCTAGTAGGTCGCTCAACAGCCCCATGAGCCCTAATAGGCTTTTGGAGATTAGGATGAGAGGAAAGTGCTGCTTGGTGGGGGACATTAGTTCAAGAAGGGCATAACCACCACTGGGACAAAGAAGGGTGAGAAGCAACACCCCTGGAGCCCATCTCTGTCCCCTCAAGCTTAGACAACACTGCCCCTAGTGAGGGTGTGCACCCCTCCCCCACCATACCTCAAACACTGTCTTGGCAGCATAACCCTGCACATCGTCACGGTTGATGACAATCTGGATGACGCGATACCACACCTCTTCACTCACATAGTCGCCCGCGATGCGGATGAGGTTGAGGATGGTGTCCACATACCAGGTGTAGTCCACTGCATACTTCTCAGCTAGGATGGCCACCTTCAGCACCTGCAAAGAAGACAGGGCCCTCAGAGAGATACTACTGAACACATCAAGAACAGACTGGCACACAGTCTATGCTGGGTTGCAGAAGGACCTATCGCAGGGTGGACAGAAAGCTTCCAGCAGATCTTAAGAGGGCCAGAGAGTGGAAAGCAGCTGACTCAAGTGAGGAAAACTGGTCAACTTCAGGGACACAACAGTGCAACTGTGCAAACAGCTGCGCCTAGGACAAAGTGCTAACACTCACAACAATCTACTGAGGTCAGCCATACCCCAACCCTGCATTATCTTATCTCCCTGACTCCATAGAACCTCCAAAGTTTGGTAGTTTGAATGAGTCTATGCATGATCCCCATAAGCTCTTACATTTGAATGCTTGGTCTCTAGTTAGTGGAACTATTTGGGAAGGTCTTAGAGTGGGTGTGGTCTTGTTGGAGGAGGCTTGTTACTAGGGGTGGGCTTTGAGGTTTTCAAAGCCCAAGCCAAGCCCAGTCTGCCTACAACTTACAAGCCATATGAGCCCTCAGTGTTCCAGAAGCCATGACTGTCTACCTGCCACCATACTCCCCACCGTGATGATGCGCACAGACTAACCCTCTGAAACTGAAGGCAAGCCCCCAATTAAATATTTTATTTTAAAAGTTGCCTTGGTCGTGGTGTCACTTCACACTGACAGTATGGACACTAAAACCAAGAATAAATGGGGCCTCATGAAGCTTAAAAGCTTCTATATGGCAAGGACACCTCCATTCCAGCAAAGCGCAGTCTACAGAATAGAAAACATCTTCACCAGTAACACAGCTGATAGAGTGCATCTAAAATACATGAAAAACAAAACACAAACAGAACTAAACAGTTCACAAAAGATGAAATATAAATGGCTAAGAAACACTTGAAGACATGTTCTATATCCTTAGCCATCCAGGAAATGCAAATTAAAATTACTTTGGGATTTCACCTTAACCAAGTCAGAACGTCCAAGATCAATAAAACATATGACAGTGCATGCTGGCAAAGATTCAGGGAAAGAGGAGTACTTGTTCATTGCTGGTGGGAGTGTAAACTTATACTGCTACTAAGGAAATCAGTGTGGCAGTTCCTCAGAACCTCAGGAAACTAGGAATAAATCTACCTCAAGATCCAGCTATAAAACCAGGAGTGGCGGTACAAACCTTTAATCCCAGAACTGGTACGGCACATAGGCAGATCTCTGTGAGTTCAAGGGCAGTCTGGTTTACATAGAATTTCAGGATAGCCAGGGATACGTAATGAAGGAATGTCTCAAAAAACCCCAAAAAGATCCAGCTATATACCATTCTTGGGTATGTACCCAAAGGATTCTATATCCTACTCCTAGAGATCCTTGCTCATCCATAGTCATTGCTGTTCTATTCATAACAGTCAGGAATTGGAAACAACCAAGACGCCCATCAACTGATGAATAAATAATGATTTTCTTTCTAGCTCCATCAATTTACCTGTGGATTTCATAATTTTATTTTTCTTAACCACTTTGGAGAATTTTTCCATCATGAAATCAGCTCAAGTTTGCTTGGCACAGATGATTACACCCTGCACTAACAGATATCCACCCTGGAAGGTCAGGGAGAGGAAGCTGATACCAAGGAATCTTTTATGTAGCGTCTCATAGACACTCATGTAAGCCTGCCGGGCACTGAAAATCATCCAAAAATTATCCACTGGAACTCATGTCCACAGTAGGGAGCAGCTTGGACAGCCCTCAGGCTGCAGGACTCACAATTTCCTCTCGGATGGAATAGTCAGCCGTCTCTAGGTAGCTCAGCATCTCAGCCACAATCTGCTGGGCGTTGCTGCGGTCACACATGGCATAGAGCAGATCCACTGCCCGCTGCCGTACACTCACGTCTCGTTCCGTCTGGGAAATAAGGCAGAGTCAGAGCCACTCCTACAAAGCACAGGTTGGGGAACAGTGCCTATCCACTATTATATGAGAGTCCATAAGATAGCATCTATTTATTCCATAGGAGCTGTCTTGTGGCACCCTATAGCACTGTCCCCATCAGGCTGGGTGCTCCCCTATCTCAAAGTCCCTTAATGGGCCCCGTACTATCAATATATGGGACTCAACAATTTAGGCCACTTGGAACCCACAAACAACTCACTGCCAGTCTCCTCATACTTAGTCCAGTCAAGAGAAACTCCTCCCTAACCAGCTCTTCTAAGGCTACACTCAGGCCTAATGAGCAGGTGACCACTAAGGCCTCTCCATTGTGTGGGCACAAACCAGCACCTTCCATGTTGCCTGGGAGCTGGTTCCGAGGCAGGTTCCTGGGCCCCTCTCCAGGTGGCATGGGAAAGAAACCCTACTGCACACAATGCTTGAGAAGCTTGATGCAGGTATTTGTAACCCCCTGCAGTGGTCGACAACAGTTGCAGGATAACCCAGGGCAGGACAGACGAACCTAACAAGAGTTAGTGCAGCTTGAGATGAGAGCTGTCTTTATGACCAAAGGAAATGATAAGAAAAGAGATCAATCAGGACTAGGAAGAACACAACTTCAAGTTCAAGACAGGCACCAAATGCCTATTGAGTTACACAAAACACAGATCATGGCCAGACCTGCTCCCCTACAGCTGAAGACTCACCAAGATGAAGAGTGTGAATCCACAGTTCTCTGATAAACTAGCCTAACAAGCAGGTACAGTATATAGTGTGAGCCGTGCCAGAGAAGCACACCAGCAATGTTATTCACACCCAGAAGCAGGTATGAGAACAGGTAACCTCAGCTAGGCTCTTTAAATTCTGGAATTCTAATTCTTAAAAAAATCTAAAATCCTTGAGTAGGAATTTTGCTTTGTAAAAGGTGAAGCTTCCTGGAGGTAAAAACAAAATATTTCCTCTTTCTACCAAAGAAAACTACTTCTGTGTACTGAACTATACTATCTTGGACTCCAGACAGGTGTCACATGAATTCATCCCATGGGACAGGACTGTCACAGTGGAGACAAACTCAGGTAAATGTGCTTGGCTAGAACTCTGTTCCCAGGTGCTACATCCATGGGAATGGCAGGACTTCACTGCAGGAATATAGACAGATTTCTCACCCAATTGCTGCATCCACCTCATATGTCTGCAAGTGACAGGAACCAGGTAAACACCCTGGAATCCAAACCAAACAGCTTGAAGGAACTCATCTATGCCTACAGGAGGCACCTCCCAATTTTCTGGCATCCACACATGACCAATAAGGAGCACACCTTCAAGGCATTGATGACAGTCTCAATGTGGGTCTTTACAGCTTCGTGAGAGAACTCAGAGCTGGCCAACGTGCACATGCTCTCCAGAGCCAGGTAGCGCAGGTTTGTCTCACGGTGCTGCAGGAATTGGCCCAGCTGGTTGCAGGCACGGACGAGCAAGTTAGGCTCGCTGCAAGGAACAAGGGACATGGTAAGAAGGAGAATACAGTCAGGGAGGGCTGGGAGCTACAAGAAGAGGACACAGTAGAGGATCACCGTAAGGAGGGAGTAGAGAAGTGCAGTGAGAAGTGAGAGAGAAGAAGAGGTGCTGTAAGGAAGGAGCACAATGAAGGATTGTTGTAAAAAGGGTTACAATGAGACTTCCCAGTGAGTCTGCAGGATCTCCTCTACTCCAGAGTGGACTCTAGAAAGCTCTGGAAGAAAGCTTCACTTTCTTCAAGTTGTGTCCAGAAAAGTGACTAGGTCAGCAGCCAGCCTGGAGCAGGGCTGTGCAGGAAACTGGACCAGGTTAGGGTGAGTGGTGAAGGCTAATGGGGAACTCAGGATAAACCATCACAATTCCTCCTCATAGAAGTTTCTTAAGGACAAATAAGACTTTCCTCACATTGCAAGATTTGCTTTTAACAGTTCATTCTCAACCCTGCTCCTGTCTGGCAGACTGTTTCTGTCACAGTAACATTTATCTAAATGATGTAACAAAAACAGCTGTGCCCGAGTCTCATGCCTCTGGCAGAGACCAAGAGCACAGAGCCACAGGCATACATAAGAGCATGCCACCAGGATTGAGCAGAAAAAGAATAGAAGCAAGCCTGTGCTGTATAAGACAACCACAGCCTGTGACCCATCCATGGCCCTTTACAGGGGCTGGGAGTCATCACTATCATTGTCCCAGGAGACCCCCAAAATACTGGAGTGTGCCTTCCTGAGCAGCAAAGCTAATAGCACACAGGTGTCCCTCCCTTTCAGAGAAGTCACTTGGTGACAGGGACACAGCAGTTCTAGGGACACTGCCACAGCCAAAGTATCTAAAAGGCACGTGAGCTGGAGAAGTGTGAGGAGTCACCTGTCACCATCTGCACAAATAATAGACACCAAGTGCCAGCCTCCGTCAAGTGACTTTGGCGGTTATTCCCAGCTGCAGATACGACAGGGAGCATTTGTAAATTGCCATGGGACAGCTCCCTGTTCCAGTGTCATAAACATAAGGTGGAGATAGAGCAGCTGTGGTAGCCACATCTGCTTCTGATTCAGATGGCAGAAAGTACTTCCACTGAGATGTGTTGCTGATAATGGCTCACCTGTCATGGTGGATGATCAGGCTGATGGCCTCAAACAGCACAGCATTCTTGGCATTTGAGTGTTGGACCTTCTTAGACTTGGGTGGCTCCTGAGCCTTGTTCAGGATGGTCTCCAAGCACTCAGTCAGACGGCCACGCACCGCAGGGTCTTCTGGGCAAGACACAACTGTCGGCTGGGCTCCTAGGCATTCATCCCACCAGCCCAACCCACACCTTAGCAAGAGGCCTCTGACACACTGTCCTGTGGGTGCCTTTGATGGTTATTCCCAGCTGCAGATATGACAGGGAGCATTTGTAAATTGCCATGGGACAGCTCCCTGTTCCAGTGTCATAAACATAAGGTGGAGATAGAGCAGCTGTGGTAGCCACATCTGCTTCTGATTCAGATGGCAGAAAGTACTTCCACTGAGACAACAGTATGTTAGTCATAAAATTCAAGGATTATGGGCGAAACAGCTAATAAGCTTCAGGGGCAAGGAGACTAGTTTTTATTATTACCCACAAAAATGGAGAAAATATACAGAAACATAAATAGAAAGAAATTTTTAAATTTGGTTCAAAGCAGAAGGAAAAATTGTGCAAAAACTAAAGCCAGCCATGGTGGTACATACCTGTTTCACAGTACTTAGAAGGCAGAGGCAGGAGGACTAGGCATTTAAGACTACATAGAAAGTTCAAGACCAGAATGAGTTACATAAGACCCTATCTCAGTAAGAACAAAACTAGGGCCAATGAGATGGCTCAGTGAGTAAAGGCATTTGTCATTAAACCTAATGAGCTCAATCCTCAGAACCCACATGGGGAAAGAGAGAACCAACTCCCACAAACTGCCCTCTGACCTCCGCATACATGTTGTAGTACATGCACTCCCATGTACTACATACACATACACACAAAGTAAATGTCAAAACTAGTAAAGCAAAAACCTATAGTGAGGGCTGGAGAGATGGCTCAGTGGTTAAGAGCACTGCCTGCTCTTCCAGAGGTCCTGAGTTCAATTCCCGGCAACCACATGGTGGCTCACAACCATCTGTAAAGAGGTCTGGTGCCCTCTTCTGGCAAGCAGACATGCACACAGACAGAATATTGTATACATAATAAATAAATATTTAAAAAAAAAAAAACCTATAGCGAGCAAATTCGAGTCACAGTGGTAGGAGGCTGCTATCCCAGCACCTGGGAGGCTGAAATAGGAAGATTACAGTGAATCCCAGGACAGTCTGGGCTGTGTAATAAAAACCTATTGCAGCTGGGTGGTGGTGCACACTTTTAATCCCAGAACTAGGGAGGCAGATGCAAGTAAATCTCTGTGAGTTCGAGCCAGCCTGGTCTACACAGTAAGTTCCAGGATAGCCAGAGCTGTTACAGAGAAACCCTGTCTCAAAAAAATCAAAACCAAAACACACAACAAACAAAAATCTATTACAAAAAGAAGAGGAGGAGAAAGAGAACAGCAGAACCAAAGCTCTCAATAAATTTTATGCGTAAGTAGTTGTGTGTGGATATATGCGCATGTGGGAGGGGTCAGCCTCAGGTTCCATCCACATCACATTTTTGAGATAGGAACACTCACTGGGACGTGAGTCTTGCCAGTAGCTTACACTAGATCCTCGTGTCTCTGCCTCCCTGCTACTAGGATTACAAGTATGTACCACTAATCCTGGCTTTTAGTTGGTGCTTTAGATTGAACTCAAGTCTTTGTGTCTGCCATGCCAACACTTCACTAACTTGACGTCGCTCTGAAGCACCTCCTAATAAACTTTCAAATCTAATAAACAAGATATTTGGCTGGACAGTGGTGGTGCACACCTTTAATCCCACTACTTGGGAAGAGAGGCAGGCAGATCTGTTTGAGTTCGAGGCCAGCCTGGTCTACAGCTAGGGCTGTTACACAGAGAAACCCTGAATGGGAGATGGGGAATCTAGTAAACAAAATTTTGATCAACTGAAGAATTAAATTTTCCCTCATGAAGAATCTGTAGTGAATTGTCATGGAGTAGGGGCTGCACGGCACACCAAGGAAGGGGTATGGAGAATGCTACTTGGGAGGCAGTGCTATTAAAAACAACAACAAAAAAAAAAAAAAAAAAAAAACACCTAGAAGGACTGCAGGGAACATTACCTGGGGGTGGGTAGCACTGCAGCAGTCTCAGAAGTTTGACTGACAGCCAAGGAGCTGGGACAAAGTAGTAAGTATAATCCTGAAGATCTGTTGATGCTGACGTCACAATCTGTAAAACAAGTGAATGGATAAAAGGCACCATCCTCAGGGGTCTCTGCGTGACCCTTAGAAGAGCCACACTGGTTCCCTGACCCATACCTTCTGAGAGGTTTACAGTGTCAGCTATTTTCAATACTGTTTCCTGTTTCCCCTTGAAGAGAAGCTGGCATGGCCAAATCAGTTCACATTGAATCTTCTAGAGAACAGCTCCAAATGCTCTCTCCACAAGGGCTATGGTGCCCCAGACACAAATGCTTCCAAGCCAGAAACCATCCCTTAGTACTAAACACTGACACCTGAAGAAGGAAATCTGTCTTTTGTAGGCTGGAAAATGAACAAAAGTCTAAAAGTGCCTCAGGCTTACTCAGAAGGGACAACCCAAAGAGCTTATGTTGTTCTGACCCACACCCCATGGCCCTCAGCCTGAGTCAGGCTGTGAGTTTGTAGAGCCAGGCAGCACTTGCTCTACTTACAATCTCCACCTCATGAAGCAATATGGCCCCTGGCCTAGCTGTGACAACTGTCTACACAGACAGTTCTGTGTCCTGTCCACCTCTTATACCTTTTATTGTTGACAATGTTTTTGAGACAGGGTTTCTCTGTGCAACAGCCTTGGATGTCCTGAAACTTGGATGTCCTGTAGACCAGGCTGGCCTTGAACTCATAGAGGCCCACCCACCTCTGCTCCCAAATGCTGGGATTAAAGGCATGCACCACCACTTTCAGGCTGTTACCTCTCATTCTAAGGACCCAGAATTGCTCTCTCCCTAAAAGTGCACCTGTGTGACCCTTTAGCCATGTGAGCACATTCTAGAAAGCTCATCCTGATGATACTAGCCTGGAGAGTCAGGAAAGGACTACACAGGGCAAGAAATCAACAGCAAGCAGCCAAGCCAGGCAAAAACAAGCCCCAAACCACCTCTGGGAAATGCAGAAACAGGCCCAACACAATTTGTCTTCCAACATGTGCCTTCCAGCTACAGAATGGTCAGAGAGAAATCTGAAGCTTTAATTGCATTCAATTACAACAGAAAGGCAAGAATAACTCTTGAACATTTAGGAAGAAATAAAACAACAATGATACAAACAAGAACAAAATAGTGTTGGGGAATATTTTCAGGTGTGTGGCTTTTGTTTATGCTGCATTTGTTTGACTCTGTGAAGCTGTGTTACTGTATCTAAAACACCTAATGGTCCTAATAAAGAGACAAAGGGCCAAGAGAGAGGCAAAAGCAAGGATAGGTGGGGCTGGCAGGCAGAGAGGATAAATAGAAGGAGCAACAAGGAAAAGAAGAGCAACAAGAGAACAAGGAGAGGAGGACATGAGGGGCCAGCCACCCAGCTACACAGCAAGCCATGGAGAAAAAAGTAAAGAAAGGTAGACAGAAATAGAGAAAGATAAAAGCCCAGAGGCAAAGTTATTCGGGATAAATTTGGTTAAGAAAAGCAAGCAAGAAACAAGCCAGGCTAAGGCCGGGCATTCATAACTAAGACTAAGCCTCTGTGTGTGCTTTATTTGGGAGCTGAATGGTGAGCCCCCCCAAAAGAGTTCAAAGAGTAAAAAACATCGCACAACAAAATAGGAAAACAATAGAAGATCAAGAAAAAGAAAACGACTACTTCCAGAGGAATTAGTACAGTCAACGGAGCACACCTCAGATATGGTCCATAAAGCTACAATAGAGAGGGGGCTAGAGACATAGCTCAGTGATAGAAAAACTGCATAGATTCAGGCCCTAGGTGCAATCCCAACACTGCCTTGGGGGGGGGGGGACAAAAAACCCGAGACTTGGCACTTCTGCAGATGAGATAAGCACATGGCCAATAAGCAATGAAAAGATGCCCAACCTTGTAACCTGAGGGGCTTGCTTGTTGGGGTTTCTGTCCTGCCCAGTTCCCCAAAGAAGCAGGATGTGACCTGCCCCGCTGAAAAAGGTACTGAGCCATGTGGCTAACATAGATAAGAATAATGGGTTAATATAAGCTACTAATAAGAGCTAATAAGAAGCCTGAGCTAATGGGCCAATCAGTTTATAACTTATGTAGACCTCTGTGTGATTTTCTTTGGGATTTACTGGCTGTGGGAACTAGACAGGACAGAAACCCCAACAAACAGGCACTCATGTTACACAACCTCATCATTAGGAAAATGCAAATCACAGGATACACCCCCATACCTGTGAGTAAAAGAATAAAAAATAAAACATGCCAGCCTAATAGCAAGGTGGTAGGTACATATCTACAATCCCAGTATGGGGGGGGGGGGGACTTAGGCTACAGAGCAAGACCTTCTCTCAAAGGGAGGTGGGGAGGGTGGGCCAAATGGCTCAGTGGACAAAAGGACCTGCCTCACAAGCCCGACAACCTGAGACCAATCCCTGGAATCCCTGGAACCCATTAAAGATGGAAGGAGAGAGCTAGAGAGATGGCTCAGTGTTTCTTCTAGAGGCCCTAAGATTAGTTCCCAGTAGCCACATCAGGCAGCTCATGACTACCTGTAACACTGTCTCCATGGGGATCTGATGTCTTTGCTCTCACGTGTACATACCCACATGCAAACAGATATGCCTACACAAAATTAAAAAGAAACCCTTTAAAAAAAATAGGAGAACCTAAAAGTTGTCCTCTGACCTCCACATGAATCATGATGTGCATACATATAACACACTAAACGACACACATTGGTGAGGATGTGGAGAAATTAGACCCTTGTGTACCGTTGATGGGATGTAAAATGGTGTAGGTACTGTGCAAACAGTATATCAGTTCTTTAAAACATAAAATTAGCATATAATGCAGCAATTCCACTCCCCCCAAAAAAGCAGCATGTAGGAAACATTTGCACAGTCACATTTACAACAGCTCTATCCACAGAAACCAAAATATGGAAGTAGTCCAGCATCCAAGTAGTCCAAGTTAGCAAAATACATGAGACAGAAATTCAGAGCTGAAGAGATGGTTTAGTAGTTAAGAGAACATGCTGTCTCAAAGGAATGTGCTAGACTTTGTTGACTCCCCATGGAAAATCTTACTCCCTCTGAGAAGTGGATGGAGGGTAGGGTAGAGGGGAAGGTGAAGGGAGGGAGAAGAGGGGAGGGAGTGGGAACTGGGATTGGTATATAAAACAAGAAAAGATCATTTTTTAAAAAGATAAACAAATTTTAAAAATTATAGCAATAGACACAGCTTATGGATCTTTTTAACAACAACAACGAACCATAAGATTTTATGTGTATGCCACCACACTACATCTATTTTTTGAGACAGAGTCTCACACTATGTAGCCCTGGCTGGCCTTGAACTCAGAGATCTGCCTGCCTCTGCCTCCCAAGTACTGGGATTAAAGAAAAGTGCTACCAAGCCTGATCCCTCAAAAAAAAATTTTAAGCAGTTGCATAATGTTATATAATAGTTAAAATACAAATTTGAGATTGGTGATACAGTTCAGCAGTGGAGTGTTTACCTAACATACACAAGGTACTAGATTCAATCCCCTGAACATAAAAATAAATGAATAAATAAATAAAGTAAGAATATTAGGTAATCACTGAGAAGAGCATTTTAAACATAAAACAGAGCTGTCAGTCTAACATAAGGCGTGGGGGAGGGGTGACTGATGATGGAATGGCTGTGGCAACAAGGTCCTAGAACAGCTTCCTCAAAACCTAAAACTAAGCAGGTGGATGTCATGGCAACTGAAACACCATTCCAACTCTGAAGGAAAAGACATCCTTCCTATCAGCATACTAACATGGACACCCACCCTCCCCTCAGAACTTCAAAGGGGTAATCTTTCTCTTCCACTTACTGATGAGACCAAGAGCACAATTCCCATTAAGAGGAGGGTGGCTGTGTTGCAAACTAAAATTGTGCTTTACTTCCAGGGCCATTGTCTCGTTTTTTGGGTTTTTTTTTTTTAATCTTTTTTTTTTTTTAATCTCGGGTGAATTCTAAAAGGAAATACTACAATAAGCAGAAGGTTTAAAAAAACAAAAACAACCTTTTAAATTTTGTATTGCATCATAAAAAAATTTTAAAAAGCTACAAAGGTTACAGAGACAACTTGTTTGCAAAGGCAAGTGACACCACAAGACTTGGGGGTAGGGACTAGATACACAGATGATTTGTGAGACCGCAGACTGACTGGGTAAGCTCCAGAGAGCAGTGTAGGCAGAGCAGGCAGTAGAACTCTCACAGTAGAAGTTCTCCAGTATGGTCCAGGATATTGGGTCCCTCACATCTGTACAGTGCCAGCTGTACCACCTAGGTGTGGCCTTACAGTAGATGACTACACAAGCAGGATTTACCATGCTGACTAGAGGAGGTTCAGCAACTTAAAAGTCTCTAACCAGAGGACTCTGCAAAACAATGCCCTGGTAATGTATCTGGCCGTGGAGGTAGGAATGTCAGTTCAAGGCCAGTCTGGACTACACTGTAAGAGCCTGTCTCCAAGCAACAAGAAACCCAAATAGCATGTCACACCAACTTCTACACATAGATCAGGGAAGGCCATATACACCCACAATCTTTGAAGAATAACAAAGGGTACGTGGTGGCAAATTGTCTGTTCCAATCCAATGCAGCCAACAGTGCCAACAAAACCCACATGAATGATTCCCAGCCTCAATGACCAACGGGCCCTATCACAACAAAATACAAGTCCAAGAGGCCAGTGTGAGCAACCTCAGGCAGTACCAAAGCAGAGGAACCAACCATATTACTAAAGATAGCACAAGCAGGTACTGCAGAAGCTACTGAACACCCCACAGCCTGGGCAATGCCATGGAACTGGGCTGCTCATGGTCAGCCACTATTGATGGTCTCCAAGCAGAAAGTAACAAAAGGCTTGAGAGACCAGGGATGACTACACTGCCGTCCACTGAACTGTCACTTCTCTGCAGGATCAGAAAGTAATAACAGCTACTCCAAACATAAGTGAGGGGTTTACACCCAAGGCTTCTAGACAGACCTTGTAAAATAAACAAGCCACAGACCCACTGACAAAACCTGAGACACAAAGTCAGAGCCAGTCCTAGCTACAGTGAAGGTGGGCAGGGATTACACCAACTAATGGGCTCTCCCCTTTAGGAAAGGAGACAGAAGAATGCTTCGCACTGGCAGCTGCCCCGCAACATGCACGCTGGTAGGGCAGGGTACTTCTCAACCAACAGAGAAAGAAACGTCAAGGACTGGAAGAGGCAGTTTTCACTCTAAAATTTACAAAGCGGGCCAAATATCCTGCATTCTAAAATGTAAAAATTACTTCAGTCAAGCAAAGAAGACCAGGTTTTGACCACCCTGCTATCTGTGCCCACCACGGACTTACTCTGCTCAGTCGAGAGACGGCTAGAGAGACAGAAGTCTTGAACTCCTCGGGATTCTTCTGGGCCAGTGTGGTGATGAGGCTAGTTGCAGCAGTCACTACACCCTGAAAGACAAAGACTGCAATCAGGAGGCCCATAAGAACCACAAGTGACAGGACATATAAAATGCAATCTATAGTACACTGAGTTCCCGGCCTGCCCTAAACAACCCATGAGGTTTGCAAAACTGAGACAGGGAATACCGGCTTCTTCTATTCCCACCTTCTCTCTGGAAACTGGAAATCTAGTCCAGCTTGGTCAAGATACTTGCAGGTGAGGCAGGGTTGGAGCTGGAAAGTGTGTGAACCCTATTCTGTCCCCATCTGCTCTAGTTGCTTTCAATTGAAATCACCATGCCTAGTGTAGTGGGAGACAGAGCCTTCCAGCTCATTTGAATTTTCACAATCCTGTTGTATCTGAACTTGGATGGGTCCCAGACCCAGGGCTCCCTTGCAGAGACCCCACACCCTACCTGGGCTCAGATTGGAGCAGCTGAAACCCCAGTGCAGCATGGCAGTTACCCATAAGGCCTTAAGTCTACCACTGTACCAGGAAAACAAACAACTGTGTCCAGCACATTATCTCTTGAAAGATTTTGGTTAAGAAATTCCTAGCCAGGCAGTATAGCACACCTGTAATCAAAGTACTTAAGAGGAAGAGAAAGAAATGTTACTTCAAGGCCAGCCCAAGCTATATAGCAAGACACTGGTTCAAAAGTAAATTCTATCAGGAGTCAGGAACTTCTGGGTTCCCAGGATTTGGAATAGGCCAAATCCAGATGAAAGGTAGCTGCTCAAGCTATGTGCAAACACCTGACTATTGGCCACCAATTCAGTCTCTCTCCATGTCATGGTTTGCGCTTGTGTGGTCTCACAGGAAGCTAACAACAAGCACACTGCTATATGGTAACACACGGCCCTCAAATATCCCCTGGCCTCATTTTGCTCCCTCTCCAAATCTCTTCCCCAGGTGGCAGGTTCAGACCTCATACCTCTAAGTCATCTGTTCTATCTCACCACCCTTATGGGTCATCAGAGCTGATCCCTGCCTTTCCACCAGTAGATCCCTCTTCTAAAGGCCTTTGTGTATTCCTGATCTCACCTGCAGATCCTTGGCCTTGAGATTATACACTGTTCTCAGAAGAGGCCACCAAGCTTACTATAAGCAGGCATCTGACATCTTAACCAGAATCCCCGAGCTTGAGGCTAGGACAGCAGTGTCTCAGGCCTTCTCCAGTGACAAAGCTGGACATGGGTTTGGAACAGCTGAAAGAACAGCATGCCATGCAGCTGAGGAAGGCTGAGCATATGGATATAATGCCCCATCCTTTTTGACTCTGAACTGAGTTCCTACCACTAGCCAAAATGCTAGGAAAATAATATGCATGTGAAAAACCAAAAGCAACCAAGAAATTGGAGTCAAAGAATCAGTATCCAGAGAGGTGATGAGCCGGGCGATGGTGGCGCACGCCTTTAATCCCAGCACTCGGGAGGCAGAGGCAGGCGGATCTCTGTGAGTTCGAGACCAGCCTGGTCTACAGAGCTAGTTCCAGGACAGGCTCCAAAGCCACAGAGAAACCCTGTCTCGAAGAACCAAAAAAAAAAAGAGAGGTGATGTCCTGGCACCAAAGACCCAGCCTTTCTACCTGGAAATGACTTGATGGCCTTGATGGCCATGGCAATGTGACTGTAGGAAGCAAGAAATAACTTCTGCCAGAATTCTACAGACAAAACTACCCACAGAAGCTGCTGAACTAGAGCAAATGCTGCTCAATGCTCCTCACAGCTGGCTCACCCGCACATCTCTGTGACACATGGCTTTCACAGCCTCTAAAAACCTGGTTGAAGTCTGAACACTATACTTTGACAATGAGAATCTTCATCTTTCTGAGCCTTGGTTGGTTTCTTCAGCAGTAAAACTGGGAAATCCCTACATGGTGGTGGTGTACACCTTTAATCCTAGCACCCAGGAGGCAGAGGCAGGTAGATCTCTGTGAGTTTGAGGACAGTCTGAAAGAGTTCCAAGACAGCCAAGACTATACAGAGAAACCCTATCTCCAAAAATAAAAACAAAAACCTGGGAAATTCCCATTGTTTACAATTTACAAAGTCTACTGACGGTGAACTACTATTTCTCTGACACAGCTGATGGCCTCCAGCAACACCTTCTGACCCCCAAGTGGTCAAACCTGCAAGGGCTCAGCTATGTGCACCAGTGCTCAGGACCCACTCACAAACCAGCATTACTGGCTCACCTCCAGGGCCCTCCGCCTTCTCTGCACTCCCTGCAAGATCAACTCCTATCTCAACAAGCACAACACAGGGACAGTGTGAATGGCTGCCATTCCAGAATAAAATGTCCACCGCAAGCCCCATGTACTGTCCTCTGAATGTTCATATAACAATCTTTAACTTTCACAGCAGACTCTCCTGGGTGGGGAGATAACTAGCAAACACACTTGCCTGACTTCAGGTCATCAGACTCACTTGCTCAGCAGTCCAAGCACAGAGGCCATGGCCCACAGCCAGAATCACCATTACAGTCCTCTTCTATAAAATGTGTAGCTTAGTAAGACTTGCACACTGAAGCTTAACCAAGAAGTGGAACACACCCATCACAGCCCCCACACAAGCAGCTTATAAGGACACAGGTGCTGAGTGGGAATCGCCCTGCATAGAGGGAATCCCTGGAGAATGTCTTGCTGCAGGGAGATGCTGGCAGTCTGTGTGCCTGGCTGCAGAGGAGACAGTACATCACCTCCATCCTCCTGAGAACCTCAAAGGACCACTTCTACAACACTCTCTGAAAAGCTTATTGAGTGGTTAAGAGTGGAATGAAACACAGACACTTACCAAGTGCTGGTCATTGAGGAGGTGTACCACTCGGGATGTCCAGTCGCCCATGGGAACTAGGTCAGGTGATGTCCTATATAGACGCAACAAGCACAGGGCTGCACTTTGCTTCACACTATCCATAGTGTCTCTGGAAACAGACATCATCAGTCAGTCAGGAGAATGGTGGCCTCTCAAGGTACCATAGGTTAAGCCAATCAGAGCAGAGCATGGATCTGCGTACAGAGCACATCAGGTTCACCAAGAGACCAGTGGGTCAAGAAAGCCTGCACAGTTCAACATGCCAGCCCTGCACAGGTCATTCTTAAGGACAAAGATCAAGCAGGAATCCAGCCCACCGGTAAAAGCCTACATGTTTGCTCTCTGGCCTCCAAAGGCTTCAACTCTCATCCCTTTCTAGACACTGAATATGCAAGATGGGCTACAGAGGCCAGGCATGTCTATGACACTCCTCTCTGAACCATAGGACTCTTCCCCCTCTGCACCCAATTCATCACAGCAAGAATGGATTGGAGGCCTGAAATACCAGAGAGGTTTCTACACAATGTGTCCTGCCCCACTACTCTGAGGAAGCAGGTTCAAGTTGTCTTGTCGTGGTGAAGAAATGCGGTCTCTTTTTCTTCTGCTTTAGATTTTGTCATTGTTTGATGCAGGGTGTTGTCATGTATCCTACATGCACCTCAAACTTAAGATTGTCTTGTCTCAACCTCCTGAATGCTAAGATTACATGGATATGTCACCATGCCCAAAGCTAAGACTATCTTAAGAGGAAGCACGCTTGTGTCCTGGCACAGCCTGCAGCCTCACATCAGCACCTGCTGCAGCTGTGTGTCAGCTGTTGTGCTCCCTTCCTCACCTGACACGCAGCTGCTGGCGTCCAGTCACACTGTGCATGAGAGGGCCTGAGGCAAGCAGCCTCTGGGGTCAGGGAGTGCTGTCCTCTCTCCACTCACTCCAAGGCCAAAAGTTGTAAGTGGGTGCAGACACCAAGCAAGAAGGCAACTGTTTTCTAATCTGTTGAAGACAGGCGCTCTGGGGGCTCCCCTTCACCATACCACACCTTGCTAAGAAGTAGGAAAGAGGCCAGGTGTAGACCTAGCACTCAGGAGGCAGAGACAGAAGGACCCTGTGAGTTCCAAGCCAAATAGGACTACATATTAAGACCCTGTCTCAAAAACAGTCAAATAAAACCAGGTGGTCGTGGTGCACGCCTTTAATGGTGCACTCGGGAGGCAGAGGCAGGTGGATCTCTGTGAGTTCAAGGCTAGCCTGGTCTACAAGAGCCAGTTCTAGAACAGCTAAGGAATCTTGTCTCAACACCCCTCCCCCCCCCAAAAAAAGTCAAACAAACAAGCAGTGGGAAAACAAAACAGGTTGGCCAAGTTAGCTGAGGAGCGAGCATCCCCAGAAGAACCAGAACCTGCCAGAGTCCTTAGGGCTTAGGAGGAGCTGTGGCTGTGATGAAAAGGAAAAGAAGGGCCAGTGAGCCCTAGCTCAGCTAACTCTTGGTTATTGAATTTTTATTCCCAAATAAAACAAAAATCAAGAGGAAAACCTTCTAAATCTCCCCCAGGACTATTCCAATGAAAAAAAAATTACTACTCTGAATAACTTTGGCTTATGTGTAGTGCTGGGGATGGAAACCAGGGTTTCACATATATTAGATAAATGCTCTACCACTAAGCTGCAGTCTAGCCTAAAAGTCCTTTTAGATACTCATCCCATGAGGAGAAGAGCAGGCCCACGCCTCATTCTGGCTTTGTATCAACCCCATGGGAGCCACTGGCAGGTGCCCTCACCGTAGGCTACAACTGCAGGGTCTGTGCAACAAGAACCATACTTGTTTCTACACATTCAACCAGGGTGCTGAACCAGGAGACCACCTTCCCTTGTTCCCAGAAACCTCAAAAGAAAGGAGCAAGCACCTGCCAGCTCAGAGGTAAGGACACAGAGCACCCTCTTACACCCGCTGAGCCCAGAGCAGCTCCCACCTCTTGTAGGTATTCTTTCTGATCCTCTATTGTATCCTTGGGGACCGATGCCACCTCTCACCTCAGCACCACATCCTAACTGCTGCAGAACTACTCCATCATGATGTCATCTACATTCACTGGCCTCCCATCCACAGGCGCCACACTAATCAGAACTGTGCAAAACGGTGCACAAACACTATTCACAGAATCATCCAGTGTTCACTAGGATTCGCCTCTTGCTTACAGGGTATCATGGTAAGCTTTGCCTACGAACTGGCCCTACAGCCCAACATTCTCCAACTGGGAAGTATCACCTGTCTTCTGCTAAAGAACCTTTACTCAGCACTGGGCCTTGGGGGTCATTGTACATGTGTGCTTTCAGAGTTCAGAAAATATGCCTGTTCAATGTTTTTCAAGGATTACCCTGTCTTCATACTCTCCATTGGACCAGTCCTGTGGCAATGCCAGAAGGCAGCAACATAACAGAGACATCCAAGCCAGAAACCCTCATGGAGCACAGCAGGCAACACACAGGACTCCATGGTGACTACTAGGAAGGAAGGCCAGGGAGGCCTTACTAGCAGCTCACACTTGCATTCTGCCCAACTTCCTTTCTCTGTGGTCTCAGCTCTAGCCTTTCCTCTACCCCAACACCCACTGTGGTCTCCTACCTCAGGTACACTGTTGTTCTCTATGATTTATGCTTATAGTCTACAGTAATAAAGCCTTCGAGTTCCCACTGCTGCTCAGCTCTGTAATGTTCGTCATCATCAATCTCCATGGTCCACACCTACATTTCCACAGGACAGTTCTTTCCAGCTTGGCTCTTCTACCTACCTATGCTTCACATCACTCAGGGCTGAGGTGCCAAGGCTAACGTAAAGCTCCTACACCACAGCACAGCAACAGAGGCCTGCATTGTTCTCTATTTTGTGTCTGTACCATGTGTAGGACATTTAGTAGTATCTTTGGCCTCTGACTACTAGTAACAGAAGTAGGCCCTCCACTATGAAAACTGTAAATGCTCTGAGTCTTTGTTCAGTGCCAGCCCCATCCATTACCCCAGATAGCTGACTAAGTAGAGAATGTAGGTTAGCTCTGACCTATGGGACCCCCCCCCCACCTATACTCCAGCTTCATAGGCAGCAGAGGGCTGTGATAACAGCTCCAAGAGCCTTGACACCCCATTCAACTCACTAACAACTATCCTATCCTGTCTCCTAGACCATGATGAATGTAACCACTATGTCTGCAGACTGGCTGGACAAGAGCATAAAGCACATGACCAGGCAGTGGCTAGCCTTGCCTCTGCCAACCCTGAGACCTGACACAGCTCAGGGCTGCTTCAAACTCTTCCAGAGCAGCCCTTTGGCACCACTGGACAGTTCTCCAAATGAACTGAGGGGAGAGATGATGCAGAATTCTCAAGATACAAGAGTTTGGCCTTTGCCCCAACGCTTCTGGGAAGGGATGAGACTCAGCGCTATGCCAAACAACTTTGTTTCTTTCTCCTTAGAGTTCATGCAAGGCTGGAGTTCTTTCTGGGCTGTCAGGCTAAGAAGGGTTTTCTTCTATGATCTGCACTTAGAGAGAATATGATAGTACCTCTGGGCTCTATACTAGGGCTTTGTGATATCTCACACTACACATAGTGGAGTGTGTTCAGACAGAGAGCATGCTGTCTGTCAATAGTACCCAAATACATACCCTGCCACGAGGATCTTGGGGATCTCTCCAGCGAAGGCCTCCGCCATCTCACGGCTACCCACATTGGCAATGCAGTGCAGGGCCAGGCCCATAAATGTGGGGTTGCGGCTGGCCAGGTCATTCTTGATGGCATTGTTAATCAAGCGGATCAATTCGCTGTTCGAGTTCACCAATACAGAGATGAAAAGGTAGCCCTGTATTCCCAGAAGGCAGGGACAAAAAGCTTATGACAAGACGCCTAATACACAGTGCACAGATAAGCAAGCCTGGAAGGTCTCAAGCACCATCCCAATGGGTACCAGAGAGACTTGTCGCTGAAGACAGTCCACATTCAGACAATGTACCAGTGAACGATATTTTTGCTACCATTCAGCTCTGATGCAACATTCCCATTAAAATGTGTGCATAATCAGAGGCTCAAGGAAACCAGATCACCTAGTCCTTCCCCAAGCCTCACTTCCTTCTCAATAGTTCACACGTCTGTATCCAGAAATCACGGTATCCTCAGGTCAGGATGAGAGGGAACTGTCACTGCAAGAACCAAACCTGGCACTGTTCACTAATAAATATACATACATGTCTGCCCAGAACCCTAGTTTACTGCTATCCCCTCCTCTCTCAAGTTTATGCCCACTGCTACCTCACTACCTGTTCAGACCCAGTCTCATATCACCATTCTGTCACAAGATGGGAATGTGGAGCCTGAAAACACAGAAGGCTAATTTTCTTAAGGAAAATCCTATATTTTGATTTCTGTAAGTTAAATTTTTAACAAAAAGAAAAAGCTGTTAATTAAAACACAAACAGCCTTACTACAAAAGAAAGCAGAGCTAAAACATCAAGCCTGAGCAAGTCTGAGCAGACTGCATAGCAGGGACTCTCAACTCTAGTGCAGGGGAGGAGAGGAAGGAGACAGCACCTTCTATGGCTTTATTTCTTGTCCCTGTGGGTGCAGATCCCATTTCAGACAGTCATGCAAAAGGTCAGGGAGTAAAGTCATGACTGGTACTGTACTCTCTAACAAGAGCCCTTGAAAAGAAGGCAATAAGGCCTGTGGGTAGCAGACACAGGGGTGTAAACACAGAGAATCTACCAGTCTAAGCCAACAGAGCAGTGGGAAGAAGGCCACCCCATCAAAGTCTATCCTTGGCTCCCTAGAAGCAAAGAACTAAGTTGGAATGGACACGGTTCTTAGGTACCAGCACCAGGCAGTAACATGGGCCAGATGCAAACGTGGTTAGTACCCAATATGGAACAAAGTAGAAGGAAGAGATTCTACAAACTGCACACAGGGTACAAGGCCCTGCCCCTCAACCATACTCACAATCTGCTTTTCCGTGTATCTGTTTGAGCTCAGAAGATTCACAGCTTCCATGTGTCCAAAGTCAATGTCATGACCAAGGAGAAAGATGAAGAGCAACTTGCAGACATACTTCTTTTTACTGTAGCCATCAAGAGCCTTGTCACCTACAGAAAAGGTGAAGAAAGGTTTATATCCAGTGGGCAAGGTGAGGAAGGCAGAGAACTGTGTAGCAGATAACAGACCACAGTAAAGGTCTCAAAGAGGACACAGGCCTCCAAAGCAGCTATCTCACCGGGCAATCATGGTGCACACCAAAAACCAGAATACCTTGCAGTTAGTGTTCTGTTGTACCCAATAAGACCTGCTAGTGCCTGTCAGTGGAACCTTGACCTCCTTCAACCTGCCTTGGCCCCCAAAAGCCCTGAAGGGATCTATCTGCAAGCCCTGTATAAGTCATCAAGATAATCCTTTAACCAGGCTTACTGCCTTAGGCAGATACACTTACTATAAATTATCTTCCATTTCACAACAATTATGGGGCAAATCACCTAGCCATAAAACCACACAGACACAGGAGGGCTGAACTCCCTCCTGATCACAGCAATCAGGTTCAACAGGAGACTTACTAGAACACAAAAGCTCCACATGTAACCAAGCACCGTCAGCACTACTGCTCACTTCATCTAAGCACAGGAATATTCCTGAGCTGACCTGCAGCAGTAAGGAAGGGATGCTGCCATATGCTCTTCTCACTGGGCTGGGCCTTCCAATGACACTGAGTCAGTATAAGGTATGTATGGTCTAAACTCTGTGAGTTCTAGGCCATACTAACTCCTCATCCAGACTCTTCAAATCTCATTCCTTTTTTGTAGTTGTGAAGAGTGGGAGGCTACAATAAGAAGTAATTCTTTCCAGAATGATGTTTTGATGATTTCACAGTTCCTGTAACTCACCCTCAAGGTTCAACAGCTGAAGACTACTACTATGAATCCCTGGCTTGCTCATGCACAGATGTGGTTTGCAACATCAAATTTCTGCCTGTTAGTGACGGTTTCACATGTGCAACTTTGTGAGGGGTGATGAGTGAGACAAAGCCTCATTCTATATCCCAGGCTGGTCTGGAACTCACTATGTAGCCCAGGCTAGCCTTAAACCTACAACAATTTTCCTACAGTATTGCACCACATATCTATAATTCCAGCACTTGCCAAGAGGTGAGAGGATCTAAAGTTCAAAGTCAGCCTTGGTTGCACAGCAAGTTTGAGACTATCGTAGACTATATGAGCCCATGTCTCATTTTAAAAAATTAGTATTGTATCTGAGAATCACTGTATTAAATTGACCAACACAAGGCTGTAACTATTAGAGGTGGCAAATGTCAACTAAAGGGCTGGAAACATAGCTCACTGATAGAATGTCAAACATCAGGAAGACCTGGGTTTGATCCCCACACATCTGCCCCAGAAACCAGGTAGCAAACACCTATAATCCAGAACTAGGGTGGTGCAGGTAGGAGAATCAGAAGTTCAAAGTCAACCTTCATGACATCACACTTTCTAGGCCAGCCTGGTCCTTTTAAGTCTCTAAGTCTAAATTAAAGTAGTGCCCTCTTGTGTAACTCAGCATCAATCATTCAGTAAGTTTAGACTACCATAAAAATACAGATATAGAGTCAACTCTCCAATGTTCACTGCTCACATTTTATCTGCTTGCTATCAAGGACTTAATGTCTACATAGACTTTAAACTCAGGACAACATTGCCACACATAATCACCTTTTAAATTTACCCAACATCCTCTGCTTTATCATTCCTTTCTGTGTAACTGACCTTGTACCTGGAATCACGAATCTGTAAAAGTTCTTCTGTCAGAGAGGCCTGCCGTTAAGAAATTCTTCCACTTTGTATTTAAGACATGTTTAAGCTTTATTATTATTATTTTAGGGTTTTGGAGGGGTTGGTTTTTGGGTTTGTTTTGTTTTGAAATGGGGTCTCACTATGTGTTATTGGCTGGCCTGGAACTTGCTTCCATGTAGACAAGGCTGGCCTCAAACTCACAGAAATCTACCTACCTGCCTATGCCTCCCAAGTGCTAGGATGAAAGGTATGTGCCACCATGCCTAGACTTATTATTCGGCTTATTTTGTTTTATAAGTATGGGTATTTTGCCTGCATGTATCATCATGTGCATTCAATCCCAGAAGAGGATACTGGATCCCCTAAAATGGGAGTCACAGATGGTGGTGAGCAACCATGTGGGTGCTGGGTATCAAATTAAACCCAGGTCCTCTGGAAGAGCAAGACTCTTAACCTCTGAGCCACCTCTTCAGTCCTTATTTCGTTTTTTGAGACAAGGTCTCACTATAACAACCATACTGACCTTAAACTGGCAATCCTCCTGACTCGGCCTCCTGAGTTTTATAAGAGTTTGTATATGTAAGCTTGCACTCACTTGTGTCTTCTCCCTCCCCCTCCCTTCCTCCCTCTCCTTCCTACCCCCTCTCCTTTCCTCTTCCTCCCCTACTTACCATTGTTTAAATTCTCTTTTCCTTCAGCTTTGGTTTTGTTTTTTAATAAGACACTTTTCCCAGAGTCACCCCTAGAATGGACTTCCTCAATGTCTGGACTTGGCATCCTTCTTGCTGCTCCTGCTGTTCCTGCTCAAAAGCTGCCAGCCTTGCACCGCTGCTATGGAGATAGGACTCTGCCCCTCACTGCTCAGAGCATCTGTCTGAACTCACACATTGTATACTAACATATTCAGTGGAGATTTCCTTTATTCTGTTTGTCCCAGAGATTCTGAGTTTCCTAAAGCCCATCAGATCTGCCCACCCCAACCCTGTTTCTCTAAGACGCCAAGCAACGTTCCAGCATCAATTCTAGTCTGTACCTCCCACCATCCATCCACTACCTTTTCCTCCCTCTGAGCTACAGTTTCCATCTGACTAATCTTCCATAACACCAAGGTTTTCTTAAATTACCCCTGACACCATAGCCATCTACTGTATCTTCATTTAAGTTACTGTAACTGGTCTTATTTCAAAGTCTGCCCTCACTTCTGACACTTTCTAAGTTTCCTACCAAGTCTGTCTTTTAAACCTTTAAAATGCTGTAAACCTAGTTCACTGTAACACAAACCTGACGTAAAATCTTCATGATTCCATCTCCTGGGCCTCTGTAGGCCCCAGTTCACAGGATCTTATTTCTCTGAGCACCCTTGTTCTCTCTGACTCACTAAAGAGTGTATTTAAACCAATTGCATTCAAGGTCAGGGAGATAACACTTTCCTTTACTCCTCACCTCAACCCATGTCTATGTGTGAGGCTGTATGCAGTGCCATGTGCCAACAGAGCCCAGCTGCAGTTTGAGAGAGGCCAGTGGACCCAGTTCCCAGAGCTCTGGGGTGATTTTGGTTTTGATGTAGAAGAGGGTCTCCAATCTGGTGGGTTCTGAACTTTGGCTTTTATCCCTCTACACAGGGAATTCTGACAGGATTATGGGTGTCCAAAGCATCTAGCCTCTGCAACCTGGATGTCAGCCTATATCCTACCCCTAGCTGACAACCAAAAATGCATTTCTTGCAAAAAAGACAAGATCATTCCAACCAATGGTCAGGGCTCTGAAGTTCCTAAGGCCACCAAAACAGCTCTGTCTGGACTCCCTTTCTCAGGTTAGTAAGGATAAAGGCACAGACAGTGCTGGTCCTAGACTCACAAGCCACAGCCGCTTCCTGGGTGACCTGAGAATGTTTCTTTTTTCACTTCACTCTGATGCTCTCAGGATGTCTTGGAACACTGTCTACTCCCCAGCTGACTTCCAATGATAGAACAGGTCTCCTGTGGTATTCAGTAGAGGAGGCATGTGCCACCTAGGCTGCCAGACACCTGGGGATGCAGCAGATCCAAATGGAGATCAGTTCCAAATGTGAAAGAAACACAAGAGGTGTCAAAGAGTTACATGAAAAAAAACAGAGTACACCTCTGTAACTTTTGCTGCAATAACATGCTGCAGCAATACTTTAGAAGCCTGAGCTACACAGAGTACACTATCAAAACTAGCCTCATCTGTGCCTATTACTTCTTTCTGTGAGCTAAGAAGTATACCTGGTGCCTGGTATGGTAGCATATACCTTTAATTCCAGCACTTGGGAGGCAGAGACAGGCAGACATCTGAGTACAAGGCAGTCTGGTCTATATAGTGAGTGAGTTCCAGGACAGCCAGGGCTACATAGAGAGACCCTATTTAAAAGAAAAAAAATCAAGACAGAAAGGAAGGAAACTTGGACTCAGGAGGTACCATCTACTTTAGTCTTTTAAGTAGTGCAGACCTAAGCCAGCTGGACTGCTCTAACCAGAGAGGACACCTGAGCCACAGGCTCACCAAGGACAGATAACAGACTTTCTGTCTGGCCAGTGCTCAGGAAGGTCTTCCTTCCTGCACAGAACAGCTTGCTTTCCCAAGACTTCCTGGTTCCACAACACCCAGACAATGTTTATAAAATGAATAATTTAACACCGTTCCTTGATTTTTTTTTCTTGGGTGTGGGAGGTGTCTGGGAATCAAATGTAGGGCTTTGTACATGTCAGGGGAATACTTTACCAGTACGCTATAGTCCCAGCCAAAGTCCTTAACCTCTTTCTGTTTTTTTTTTAAACTTGTTAATTTTTGGGGGGGGGAGGGGTAATGTGTGCAAGTGCATGGGGGAGCACTCATGCCAGAGTGCAGATAAGAAACAATTTACAGAACTCAGATCTCTCCCCTGCAGTGTGAGTTCCGAGGATGCTGTCAGAATGATGTCATAATCAATGAGCCCTATCTCTCGGGCCCCAAAGTCTTTAATCTTTAGCTTATACATGAACAAATTAGATTATTGATATTAAAACTGACAAAAATATCAACATTTAGGGCTGGAAAAATGGCTCAGTGGTTAAGAGAACTAGCTGCTCTCCCAGAGGACCTAGGTTCAATTCCTAGCATCTCCTTGGCAGTTCACAACTATTTATAACTCCAGTGTCAGGGGATCTGATGCCCTCTTCTTCTTCTTGCCTCTGTGGGCAACAGGCACAAACATGGTGCACAAACATACCTGTAGGCAAAACACCCATATACACAGGATAAAATAATTTTTCAGCTGGGCAGACATGGAATAAAATAATTTTTCAGCTAGAATTGGTGGCTCTGCCTTTAATTACAGAACTTGGGAAGCAGAGGCAGATGGATCTCTGTGAATTCAAGTCCAGCCTGGTCTACAAAGTGAGTTCTAAGGCAACCAAAAATGTTACAAAGAGAAACCCTATCTTGAAAAACAAATAAAATATATAATATNGATGGAAAAGATCATTTGAATACTACCTGAAAGACATATTTTCACAAAGGCTTGTTATCCAAAATATTTAGTGATTATATTATTAATATTAAATTTTTATTTCAACATTCAAATTTAATCCTTCCTATTCTGAAAGTCACAAATTGTATTAATCATATAGATTAAAAATGTATTAGGTGCTATCTTTTATCAAATAAGCAAGTAATATGCATTTTCTCATATAACACAGTTAGAATAGCAGACACAAGCATTTCACAATGAGGGCCCAGAGCTGCCAGCGTGTGAGAGCTGGAGGGGTGGCTCTGTCCAACTCTGCTCACTTTTGCCTGAGTCTGAGCAGGGGTGACTGAAGGCCCCAGAGGAAGGCCTGACTTCTCAGCTCCCCAGTAGGTTACAGATGACTATCAGTCAGTATCCCTGCCCAGGGCTTCCCTCCACATTATAGTATACTGTGTGTCTTCTGTAAATCTTCGGCATCACAACCCCATCATGGGGTCTGCATTGGCAGAGCCAACCATTAGCATTCCCAATCTGCAGAGAAGCTAATGGGCAGCCCCACCCCTCCCAAAGTAATGAGTGACAGACTCCCAAAAACACAAGACAGTCACTACATGTATAGTCAGGGCTTTCAAAGGCCTGCTTTAAAATACTCAAATTTAATACTTTCTGCCAGCTCAACAGCAAATACTCTGAGAAGTAGTAATTTAAATTCTACTAGTTTTCACTCTGCCTGACCAACCAGGAAATTCACTTTCAAGGCTCTTGGGGATGCCCATTCTATGAGTCTAGGAGATCACAAGGATAACACTTAATTGACCTTGCACCTCTTTGGGATACAATCCAAGCTTCTCCTCTACTCATCATTTCTGGGAAATTACAGCTGTTCTCATGGTAAAAGCATACTCGGCTTAAAGGGTTATCTGGGCTTTCCTAAAGGTCTTGCAGACAGGAGTCTAGGCCTGTGCTGTGTTGTGAGCAGTGTTTCAAGGTAAGAGTGCTCAGTGGAGCACATACCTTTTTAGCAGAAGCAACATGGTAAAGACAGGTTTCTATCTTCAACTGACAGGGCAGATACACTTCAGATAAACAATAGCAAGGGCCTTCGGTGTGTTTAACAGACAGAGGCACCCAGGGGTCCCTGGCCTGTCAAGACAGCTCCACCTCGGCATAGTGCTGAGCAGCACTTTCCAGACAAGACACAAGGTCAGTGTTATTTCCAACATCCAGGAAAAGAACAGGGCCACAGCAATTCAACACATGCTGTTCTCACTACCTGGATCCCTCAATGAATGGATTCAGTGTACTAAGAACCTGATGTGTTTTAGGAGTTTTAAAGAAATGTTAAAAGCTGGGTGGTTGGTGGCGCACGCCTTTAACCTCAGCACTCAGGAGGCAAAAGCAAGTGGATCTCTGTGAGTTCGAGGCTAGCCTGGTCTACAGAGCGAGTTCCAGGACAGCTAGAGCTATACAGAGAAACATGTCTTGAAAAACAAAAACAAAAAAAAAATGTTAAAAGATTGTTTCTGCGTTTATTACTCTTCTGATAGTTGTGACAGAAATACCTAAGAAAACAATTTAAGGGAGGGTTTATTTCGGTTCACAGTTCAAGGGTATGTCCTACATGATGAAGAAGTCCGCTTCAGGAACTTGAGGTGGCTGGTCACATAGCATCCAGTCAGTATGACCAAATAAGATGAATCCACGGACAGGCCTAAGGATCACTTTTCTCCTGTGCACACTTGCTTATATGAGCAGGGATCACTAGGGCTGAACTGGGAACATTCCTGAGGCTGGAGGGGTATAGTCAACCCACTTTGTTCTTTTAATTCAGTCTAGAACTCCAACCCATGGTACTACACACATTTAGGGTATCTTCCTTCTTCAGTGACCCTAACCTAGATATCCCTCACAGGCATGCCCAGATGGATCCCGGATCATCAGGTTGACAAAGGACATTAACAACCATCACAAGGCCCTTACTACATTTAGGAAAGGGTAGCACTTACCTTTAAATTTTGATCTAATATTTGCCAGTTCCTTGTTTATCCTCTTTATTTCAGCTTCTTTACTTTTACCTTGGAAAAAAGAATAAAAATACATTTTTTTTTCATTGCCTCTAAAGAAGCACTCATTTCTTCTAGGACCCACATTGAGAACTGATGCCAGAATCAAGGTTTTCAGTGGTGCTGGGGTAAGGAAGGGCTGTGAGCCACATAGATGTCAAACTACAAAGCCCTGGGGTCGCCACTCAGCCTCATAACTTGAAGACAGGAGGCAAGACCAAGGAACAAAATAAAGGCCAGCAGCAGAACCCAAAACCCTAATTGACTGGCCTAGCGTGGTGACCACAAGGCAAGCACCCCATCAAGACCAGATGAACTGGACTCCCAGCCCCTCACAAGGGAGCATCACACCACACCACTGTGTACCTCTGTGCCATACCTCTGAGGCTAGAAAGCACCTACAACACCCAGTGAGAGCTTCCCCAAGTAAGCCATCAGCTATAGCTCATGGAAGCTGACTGCCATGAGCAAAGATGAAATAACAGTTTAACCCCGCAAGTTTCCAACCGTCTTCTCTCGGAAAACCCACAAACCTGTGAAGCCTAGGAAGTCTACCCCCAAGGCAAAATGAAGAAGAAAAGAAATGGAAGAACAGCTACTTCGAAACAGTCAAACTTCTACTACATGTAATATCTACTACTGGGCATCTCCCTTCCTTCCAGGAACACTAGCTTGTTACATGTCTGTCTTTTAACTTTACCTGGACTGATCAAATCACAGTCCAGAGAGTGCAGTGGAATTAACCAGGACCACACATCTTACCAGGTAAGGATAACTGTGTGTACAAACAAGCTGCTGTATGTTTAAATCACTTTTTAAAACAGGAAGAGAATAATTAAAGGGACCAGAAGGCAGCACAGTGGGTAGGACATTTGCTACATGAGCCTGGCAGTCTGGGACTGATCCCCAGAAACCCAGACAAAGGTGGGAGGTAAGACCTGACTCCAAAGAGTTGTCCTCTGGCCTCCACATGCACATCATACTCCCCATGCACATGCAATATTAATAAATAAGATTAAAACTTTAAAAATAGCATTGCCAGGCATGGTGGAGCAAACTTTTAACCCCAGCACTCAGGAAGCAGAGGTAAGGCCAGCCTAATCTATTAGTGAAATCATGTCTTAAAAAATAAAAATAAAAATCACTTCAACAACTGATAGTTGCTCAAAGAGGGAGATGAACTCTTCTTCTGTGCGAGTGTGGGTGTCACTGGCAGATTTCCCAAGCCCCACATCTGTGCATATGAGCAACATTAATTGGACCTAGTGAGGTATTGGACAGAAACAAAACAGAAGACGACATGAAATTCAGAGAGAGAGATGTTGGGGAGGAAATACAGGGGATATTGAAGGAGGGAAATGAGATATGGATATGACAGAAATTTCATGGTGTACATGAATAAAAATCTCAAAGGAATAAAAAAGCAAAAGAAAAATGTAAGTTTCATGCATAAAATCATTACAGACAATGCACACACAGTACCACACATGGCACCCAACTGATATTATGATTTCTGTGTTTTTTATAGACAATTTAAAAATAAATTTGAATTTTAGAGTTCTTTTTAAATAAAATTAAAATGGTTTCAAGTAAAAAATAAAACAGATTCAAGGCCAGAGAGAGGTTACAAGCATTTGCTCCTGCTGCAGGGAGAGGACTCAAGCTGAGTTCCTAGGAGCTACCTACGTCATGCAGCTTACAACTCCTCCAAGTTCAGCTCCAAGGGACTTGACGCCCTTATTCTGGTCTATGAGAACACTATAAGCACATGATGTGTATACATAGCATACATACAGCAAACACTCATACAAATAAAAGTAAATCTTAAGTTGGAGTTGGGGGAAGAATGGGGAGATGGCTCAGCAGCTAAAAGCATTGTCTGCTCTTCCAGAGGACCAAGATTTGATTCCAAGCATCCACATGGCACCTCACAAGTGTCTGTAACTTCAGTCCTAGGGATCTGAAGCCCTCCCGTGCACAGACATACATGCTGGCAGAACACCTGTACACATGAAATAAGCCTAAGTTCTAAAGAAAAAGTTAAAGAAGCCTCTCCATGACAGTGAGAAATGCAAGTGCTGGGGTTGAGGGGGGTGGATATGACAGAGATACACTGCATTCATGTACAAAGTTAAAATAAAAGATATAAATGAAAGATAAAAATAAGCCAGGTGGGGGCTGGTGAGATGGCTCAGTGGTTAAGAGCACTGACTGCTCCTCCAGTGGACCCGGGTTCAATTCCCAGCACCCACATGGCAGCTCACAGCTGTCTGTAGCTCCAGTTCAAGAGAATCTGACATCATTATACCAATGCGCATGAAATAAAGTTAAATAAAGTTTTTTTTTAAAAAAAAAAAAAGCCAGGTGTAGAGGTGGATATCTTTAGTCCCAGCACTCAGGAGGCAAACAAAGGCAGGCAGATCTCTGGGAGTTCCAGGACAGCCAGGGCTACACAGAGAAACCCTGTCTCAAAAAATTAAAAAACAACAACAAAAAAAGATTTAAAAAAAATTAAGGACCCTCTCAGGTTCATCCTGATTTTATGGTTGATCTTCCAGAAGGACAACCCATCTGTAACACCAAACCCAGGCCCAAGGTTGTCAGAGCCCCAACACTGACTTAGCCACATAAAACCTTGCAGGGCCTGTCTTCACACTGCTGCTGCCCAGCTTATCTGCTTCCCAACAAGACAGGCCCAAGTATCACTTATCTCCTGTGCATACTTGCCCGTGAATAGAGCTCACTGTGGCTGAACTGAGAGCATGTTTGAGTCCAGCTCTGCCCTAGCAAGCTCAAGATGCACAGGTGAGCAGGACAGGCAAACAGGATCCTATGCAGCTGGAACACAGAGCAGCAAAGCCTGGAGCCCAACATCCCCTCCTCACTGTCACCAGCCTTGATGGAGCAGGCCTTAGGACCCAGGCTCCCATGAGCGGCTGAAGGCTCCGTCAGGGTGGGCACAGGCTTAGCACTGGTGCTTCATAAATGGCGAGGGGCAAGGTAAGGAGAAGTCTTTTTATCTAAAGTTTTTATTAATACTGTCTTTAACCAGGTTTAGTTCAAATTTATAATCCCAGTATTGAGAAGACTGAAGAGTTGGAGGCTAACCTGGGCTAACAGTATAAAGAAAAAAAGAAAGTAAAAGTTAAGAATAAAAAGCCAGGCTTGGTGGGACACACCCACCCTACCCTAGCATAGGCCTCATCGTCTCCGCATCGCCTTAGAGCATCAGGCCCACCACATCCTGCTCTAAAGAGATATCGGGTATCCCCTGCAAGAGGCCTAGCCTTAGAAGAAAGGCTCTTGGAGCACATGGTTGTCACCTGAGGTCTCAAAAAACTTGGACTGTAGCTGTACAGTTCCTCTGGTGATAAAGGACCACCTGCGTAGAAAGGCTGCTCCTCCTTTCAGAACTGTGGCTATGAACTAGATCATAGACAACATTTACAGAGAAAACAGGACTGTAGAGTTTCATTTCAGCAAAGAAATGTTTGAAGTAAAAAGGGCGATTCATTTTTGAACCTACTTGTTATCCAGAAGCAGTTTGCCTGCAATAGTGAAGAATGGGTTGTGGGGCTTCAGTTATTCTAGAGAGAACTAAGATTTAGGCCATGAAAAAGAAATGAAAAAAAAATCTTAAAAATGAAAGGATTCGCCTACATTGTTTTGTGTTTAACATAAACTATTAACAGCTTTAACTTGCAAAATATTTCATAATCTTTTTTTGCCCTCCCCCCACACTTTGAAAGAGGGTCTAACAAAGAATGTGGTGGCCTCAACTAGCCTGGAACTCATGGCAAGCCTTTCCACCTTGGCATCAGTCACCATACCTGGCTCTCATTTTCTTATAATAAAGGAAAAAGGACCTCTATTAGGAAACATATAAATCCTGATATTATCTGTAACTGATCATTCCATGTAAATCTGCTTTGCAGAGATGTAATACAAACACCCTTTAAAGCCGGGCAGTGGTGGCATATACCTTTAATCCCAGAACTTGGGAGGCAGAGACAGGCAGATCTCTGTGAGTTCAAGGCCAGTCCGGTCTACAAGAACTAGTTCCAGGACAGGCTTCAAAGCTACAGAGAAACCTTGTCTCGAAAAAAATAAAAAATAAATAAAATAAAAAATCATAAACAAACACCCTTTAAATTAAGTGTATAATTACATATTCTAAATACATTATTTAAATTAAAAAATGACACTTTCAGGAAAAAAAACTTAAAAATGCAAGATATTGGCTAACAGGAAGATGGTAAGAAACAATCTTATGAAAAAGAATGTAACTGAAGAGGTATAGAATGCCTACCTGGCATGGCAAGGCCCAGGGTTCAATTCCAAGCACCACACACATTAAAAAAAAAAAAAAAAAAGACAGTATAGTTGCCATGTGTTCAAAGATAACCTGGAGTAGAGTGAGGCTTTCAACAGTGGTAAGTAAAGACGTCTACTACCACACTGAAGACCTAAAATCCAACCCCGCATGCTGTCCTCTCACCTCCACCAGTACAGCGACACTTGCACCCATGTATACAAAATAAAGCTTCAGATAAAAGGTCTACTGTACACAGCAGCTTCTGTTTCGTGTGTGGGTGTTGTATATGTAAGTTGTTTGTTCTTTAGTTTCTTTAGGCTGGATTTCATGTAGTGAAGGCAAGGGGGTGCCTCAAAAAAAACCAAAACAAAGCAAAACAGCTACCTGTGGTGACTTTCTGTGAGTTCAAGAATAACCTGGTCTACACAGCAAGTCCCTAACCTGGTCTACACAGCAAGTTCCAGGACCATGCCTCAAAAATAAATAAATAAATAAATAAATAAATAAATAAATAAAGGATTGAATGGTCAATAGCTAGGCAGGGAGGCAACAGGACACATCGGAAGGTAAAAGTCACAAGCCATGTGGCAGCATGTTGTCTAGTAGAAATGAACTAATTTAAGTTTTAAGAGCTAGTTAAAACTAAGGCCAAGCTTTCATAATTAATAAGTCTCTCTGTGTCATTATGTGGGAATTG